TCTTACTCCAAGGTTTAATGAATTTAATTAATTAATTAACTACATAATTTTTTTTTGCACTAATCTCCCGATATCCAAATCAATTATCAAGAATCGTCTAATCCGGCTCAAGGGTTAATTAGGTACAGTTAAGACACATCGATCCTCCCTACAGACGTGTTTAATGAGAATCAACTCCGAAATCTCTTTCCGAATACCTAACTTGCATTGTAAATTGATTCACAATCGTAAGCAAATAATTATACAATCTGTTGATAATCTTTTGATTAATTTGTTGATAATCTTTTGATTAATTAGATATGCGGATATTTTTTTTCTTGATTTGATCAATATCCACAAGAAAGACCTTAATTGAGTGAGGCAAGAAACTATTTGTGGTCCTTAATTGGTAATGTAAACACATAATCCAAAGAAGAAAACAGATTTGGATTTTCTTTTTTAGATGGGAAGATGTGATAATGACTAAATAAAATTGAATCAATATATATATAATAATATGATTAAATAGTGACATTATATAATATGATCAAATTCGATTAAAAAGTTTATAAAAACTTTTTAATTTATACCAAACAAATTCTAAATACATAATTCTTTTTAATTTATAACAAAAATGTAAAAACTTGCAATTTACATTGGTATCTCTAAGTTGAAGCATTCTTTTTTTTTTTTCTAATAGTATTATTTTCCTCACTTAATGAACAAACTAATAAAAACTTAAAATGATATTTTAATCTCTTTTTATCAAAATTATAATTAAATATTTATGCACATCTCCCTTTAGGTCTTTGAAATTTGAAAATAATATTGAAAGGATATAAAGTAACACAATCATTCATCAAACTTTGCATAAAACAACATGTAATGGCGACATTATTATTTATTAATTGGAAAAGGAAAAGTAAAAAAAAAAATAATAATAATAAAGAAAGAAAGCAAGAGTTGAAGAAAAAACAACCACACTTGATGTGAGTGTGAGGCTTCTTTGAAGTAATAAAGAAATGGATTATTCCAGTAGTTGGATGCACGAATTCTCCATACTGTACACTAAAATTATGCCACATATGCACCATCCTTTCATGGAATCATCTTTTCTAATTTAGATAAGAGAATATAAACGTTAAAAGCTATTTTAATTACTCAACCTTCTCCGACTTTAAACTTTAATTTTTCTTTTTTTTTTTTTAAATAAAAACTTTAAAGTTTTTTAAATAATAAATAAATAAATAAACAAGAAAGAAAGCTGATTGCAGCACTAATAAATGCCCCATCACCGGCCGCAAAACATGCTTCGTTGCTAGGAAACCTGCGCTCCTTGCCGATGCTAGCTCACCATTGACTCGCTTCAAAGTCAAAAAATCAACACCTCCTTATTCCTCCAGCTTGATAACATAATATAAATATTCCTCCCGTTTTCCCTATATTTAAAAATAATAATAAAACTATAATTAGAGGTGCTAATTAATTTAACTCGTCAACTACTCGAATTTGAAAAAAGAAATTAACGAATTGAAATTTAAAATAATAAAGTTTATTTTTAATTAGAAGTCATAGAAGAGCCAGGCTCAATTTTACTTTTCAGAATTTAATTTATATATATATTTATCGAATCGAAATTAGTTCAATCTAGATGGTTTTATACTGTTAAATTTTGTTTTTCAGCTGGAGAGATATGTATATTAATTTATAAAGCACACAACAACTATGATGTGATGTCTTTATTTTAGTTTTCTACCCATACCGTCCATACTCGTTTCATATTCTTTTTCTATTCTCTAGCTAGCTAGACGTGTAAGCCAATTAATTATCTCCAGATCCAACTGTAAATTCCACGTGGCAGCAAACTAACTGCCTCTCTGGCACCGCCGATATGACATGTTGATGTCCACCCAGATCCGACAGGTTGGGAGTAGATAACGTTAGGTGAGTCACGTGACACTCACGCCACGTGTCGGGCATAAGAGTCAGGATCACGTGCATCTCAGTGCGGTTAATTAGTTGGCACAAAAAGGCTGAAAAGCGGTGCCGAGTTGGACGCCACCAGGCCTATTCGGCTTTGTGAGTAATCGGTGGGCGCCATGTGTTCCAACCATAGTGGTAGAGTTGGCTAATTTTTATAATTTTTTATAAAAAAATTCGGCGTTTGCGTCCTCCTTTTGGTGCCGGTAAACGCGGAGATCGAGTCCAACCATTCGAAGTTTCGTTAGCCAGCCAACCTTTCGAACACCCACAACCACAAGGAGAAGTGTATGGGAATGGTACAACAAAATTACAATACAAAGCTTATCCAAACTAGTGAAAAAGCTTATTATCTAATAATAATAGCAATAATAATAGCTGGTCCACCGATATGTATTATCCCAATCATCCAACTATTATTATTCATACTCGCCAATTACCGTATTTATTATTTAAATTTATTATAAATATAAGAATTTACTTTTAAATTAATAAAATTGAGAATATATTTGTAATTAAAATATCGGTAGTGTTTATTATTTGAATTTATTATAAATATGAGAATTGACTTTAAAATTTAATTTAATTATGTCGGTGAAATTAAAAGTAAATTTGTAAGAAAAGCATTGGTTGTTGGCACTTGGCCAAATTAGTTGAGGAAGTTTAAGAAGCACCAGTAGATTTTTGTTAGTGATAATAATAATACTGACACATGGCCACCATCTATTGCCAGAAAATTTCATCTTAGTTGGTTGGGTGATATATTTTTAATTATTTATCATGAATTAATAAATCATAAATGCAATTTCACTTGAAAAATGGGGAAATGAAGCCAAAAGAGTTAGCTGGTTCAGTGGCAGTTAATGGGTTCAATGATCATGTACCAATATTTATTTATTAGGTTATACCACCTCAGTTAAATACAGCAGCACAAAAAATTGAACTCATGATGACCTAACTCCTTGCTTGGTTATCTCATATTTATGGATAGGATTTAATTTTATGTGGTTCAATTCTTAATTGGTAACGAACATGGCAGCCACGCAACAATAACTATATACGTGCAATTGAAAATTGTTTTACTTTTTGTTTTGTATTTTTCTTTTTTAAATAACTTAGGCGGTCTGGTTATTATATTAATATGGATATGATAATTTTTATTGGTTGTCATTCTCATTCTAATGCTTTTAAATAAGCTTGTTTATTTTAGTAAGTATTGGAAGATAATATTATTATTGGCATTGAAATTAAATTATTTTATTTTCTAGTGAATTAATTAAATTTTTTCTTTTGGTAAGCAATCATCTAAGCTGTGAGTTCCTAACGGATAGTTATTATCAAATTTAGAAAGAAAATCAGTACTAAAATTAGCTTTCCTATAAATATGCTTCGTTTTACGATTCTGGAATCGTTGGAAAAGGTTTTTTTTTTTTTTTTTAAAGAAGAGCGGGAAGAGATTCTTGACGGTTAATACAAGTAATATCCTCTCTACAAATAGTTTACTTTTATTCATAAGAAATAACTTCAATAATAAGATGCGGTTAAGTTTATCGGATAATCTATCTCTATACTGAAGGATTTGACTCGTTGAATTTATAGGAAGAAGGAACTGTGAATCTTAAAACAAAATCATCCTCATACTCAAAATATAACAGAATACTCGTTGAAAAATTTAAAAATTATCAACTTTTTAATTAGTTTTTTCTTTTGATTTGTATATATGTATCTCCATACAGGTGTTGAGATAATGTTCAAATAAAATTCTCCGGACTCTTTTTCAAATGCCATGAAATTCATCAAAACATACGGCTTATAAAATAATATCCAAAAACTCTCTTATCATAAAATAACTTATATTATCAGTTAAGTTACGTATAAAATAACTTAAAATAAATCTCTTATGATAAGTTTTCTTAATTTTTTATTAATTTTATTTGCTTACTGTTCATAGAACAACGGAAAGCCAACTCTTTCAGGAGTCAACATTAGCCAGGTCTAAAGAAAGAAGATAAATACATAGAATCCAAGAAAATGAAATCCATGTCATTTCTATAGTGCCAAAGAACGGTGAGACAAATTAGCTTTAGTTAGACCGTGGAGGAGCCACTAAGACATTTGAAATTTCCATGCTTGGTGGGTATAACCTTTAGACCATTTGCTACAACTTCTGGTCCATCTCACAAAAATTCTTGCCTAACTAGCCATTAAAATACCTCCACCAAGCCTATACATTTCCTTTTTTTTTTTTTTTTTCCATTGATAGGGTCGGCCTTTTGCAGTCATTTTCTCCTTAAACCACGGAAAATTTTATTCAAGTTCTCAAATATACCGACAATGGCACTTCCGTAATTATGGTAGCAGCAAAATAGTAGCTACGTAAGTTACGTCAGTTTGGTGAGCTACATAAATCAATTAATTGTGAAATTAATAGAAAAATAAAACAAATAGTTAGTGCTTGTTTAAACTTGGTTAAATGATAGTGTAAAACAAAAAAATATTAAATTAACAATATACTGTATGTGAAATTAATTGTGTGTTATCCTCGTATTTGACTGCGGTAAATTTTTATTGTCAATATGCATATTCACGCCAGAACCGGTAGAAAGGAAAAAAAAAAACAAAAAAACAAAAAAAAAAATTGGACTTTTACACCAAAACCTGCGTTCCACTTTGGCAGACAAATGAAATAAAATATGTGAAAAATGAAAAAAAAATAAAAAAACAAGCAACGAAAGACCGAGGTCTAACCTGTGGAACGGTTCCACTTGGCCACGCTTTTGCTAAATTCCAACATGGGATGTTTCCTTTCCTAGTATACGAACACCCAAACACACCTTCCACGTTAGCTCATATGGATAAGCTTCTCCTCTCCATATTTCCTTTAGTGTGTCTCCATTTTTTCCATCCTTATTCTTATTATTATATTACCAAACACGGTACAATAATTTCTAATTTTCCCTGACTTTCAAATTTCAAAATTCTTCAATCCTATCTATCTATCTTTCCACACGCCTTTTCTTTCTCCTATATATATACCCTTCCGCTCTTTCCTTCTCTTTGTCGCTCACAACGTTTCAAATTATATTCAATTCAAAATTAAAATCAAACCATTTCATTTTCCAATTTCTTTCCTTTCTGTTTTATGAAACATGGTTGATTTAGATTGGAAAGCTAAGATGGTATCCTCTGATCTTCCAAACAAATCCCCCAAACTCTCTAACAAGCTTAATGTTAGTATTCCTTCTACAACGCCGTTCCGTGGTGTTACCAATTTCTCACCGGTTTCAGCTTCCGATCCCGCTTGTGCAGCCTACGAGCACTATCTCCGCCTAGATGAACTGAGGAAGTTGTGGAGTACTAAAGAGTTTCCTGATTGGAAAAACGAGTCGATTTTGAAACCGGCTTTGCAGGCTTTAGAAATTACATTTCGGTTCGTTTCTACGATTTTGTCTGATCCGAGACCGTACGCGAATCGGAGAGAATGGAAACGGAGGCTTGAGTCTCTCTCTACTTCACAAATTGAGCTGATTGCTATGCTCTGTGAAGATGAGGAAGAAGAAGGAGAGACACGCGGTACGGCACCAATCGTCGATTTAAGCTCATCTAATGGTGTTTTAGCTCGCGATGGGAGCTACGCTGAGGTGTGGAAGGTCTCACCGGAAACCACCGTGGTCAACAGGACAAGCGAGGCCAGCTTGCTCCCTCGCCTGGCGACGTGGCAGAAATCAGAGGACATCGCGCAGAAAATCCTCTACTCAATCGAATGTGAAATGAGGCGGTGTCCTTACACTCTGGGTCTAGGAGAACCAAACCTCGCCGGTAAACCTAATCTCGACTACGACGCTGTTTGCAAACCGAACGACGTTCACAATCTTAAGAAGAGTCCGTATGATCACATAGACAACCATGAGAACCAAACGCTGTACACAACGCACCAGATTCTAGAGTCATGGATCCAAGTAGCTAAAGAACTCATTAAACGCATAATTGAAAGAATCGAAAGCAAGAAATTCGGCAAAGCATCAAGTGATTGCTATATGCTGGAGAGAATCTGGAAGCTTCTATCAGAAATTGAAGATTTGCATGTATTAATGGATCCTGACGATTTCTTGAGACTCAAAAACCAGCTCTTAATGCGATCGCGGGACGAATCGGAGGCGTTTTGTTTTAGATCAAAAGCGCTGGTAGAGATAACGAAATCGTGCAAGGATTTGAAACACAAGGTACCGGAGATTTTAGAAGTAGAGGTGGACCCGAAGGGTGGGCCAAGGATACAGGTGGCGGCGATGAGATTGTACAGCGAAAAAAGGGAGTTTGAGAAGATTAGTTTGCTTCAAAGCTTGCAAGCAATGGAGGCGGGGTTGAAGAGGTTTTTCTACGGGTATAAGCAGCTGTTGGTGATGGTTATGGGGAGTTTGGAGGCTAAAGGGAACCGAGTTTTGGTGAGTCCAGAGGCTTGCGACTCACTGAGTCAGCTGTTCCTTGAGCCGACTTATTTCCCGAGTTTAGATGCAGCTAAAACCTTTTTGGGCGAGTTTTGGAGTCATGAACACGGTGTGTCGGAAAAACGGAATCGCAGGAAACAGTGATAGGTAAATGGAGGAGGAGCGGGTGGATTCGATGGGAACTCGGTTTGACAGACTCAGCTGCTTGAAAATTCTAGTTTGAAAAATCCAATAGATATACACAGTTATTCATTTTCTTTTCTTTTTTTTTAAATTATTTGTACCAACAGTATTCGATATTGTAAAAATTTTGAAATATATATATATATATATATATTTATTGTAACATTTTGAATGTGATACACACCAATTTCATTATAATTTCTAGCTGGGCAAACAGAATATTCTATCATTACAAAACATTTTTTCTTAATAAAATGAAATAGGAGTGATATTTGAAAGAAATAGGGCCCAAATAACCATCTCCATACAATTGGAGGACTAATATTAAGCTTTGACCAATATCTTCTTATAAATTTGACCTTCAACGTTGGAACATTCAATCAACTAATTCAAACTTTAATTTGAATTTTATCCATTTTTTATGTCTAGTTAGCAATCTTAATTTTCATAAGAGTCTGTATACAGCAACGTACACAAATTCGATCCAAAAATGGTATGACTTATCCAATGCAAATACCATGATAAAAAAAAAAAACCAAATATTTTACTAAATAAAATTTTAGTGTATTGATTATTGATATTAATTTGTAGTGTATTAATTATTAATATTACAAAATAAATTATAATTTTTTTAAAATATAATTTGAGTTCTATTTTTGTAAAGCATTTATGAAATTGAAATGGATTAGTTCTAATTACAATGAAGTTTCACATCTTTCAAAAAGAAAAAAAAATGGCAAAATTTTGTATAACTTATAACTTATGATAAGTTGTGTTGTTTTTGTTTTAAATTAATTTTTTTGTTTTTCATTTTTTATTTTAAAAAATAAACAACACTTGTTTGTTTAAACTTGTTTAATTTTTTTCTTTACTTTTTAGAAAAATATTTTTTAAAATAAAAAAATAAATTTTATTAAACCACAAATAATGATTTCCGTAATTGTGTTTTCTATTTTTATCTACATTCCTCTTTTTTTCTTATTTTTTACAAGACTTGTACTCATAAATTTATATTATATTATTATTATTTCTCTATCCATACAAATCTAATGTAATTTATTTATCCAAAATATGTAAGCATTAGTTTTATTATCTCTATTAAATTTTAAGTTTTTTTCCATCTCTTCTCTATTTTGTATTATTTTTATATTTATTATTATTTTCTTACAAAATTCTACATCGTAATTTATTTATCCAAAATATTAAGCATTAGTTTTATTTATCTCTAGTTAAAAATTTTACAGTTTGTTTTCCATCTCTTTCGTATTTGTATGTATTTTTATATTTTATTATTATGATTTCCTCTATCTAATAAATCTAGATGTCATTAGTATTTTTATTTATATAATCTAATGTCATTTAGTATTATTTATTTATATAATACTTGGATATTATATTTTTATTTAATTGATTGTATAGTTAATTTAACTTTGTATTTAAAAATTAAAGTTTGAAATATATTTAATTATTTTGTCTTAAATTTTATATTTTTTATTATTAACTATAATCTTTAATGGCTTAATAAGGGAGAGATTTGATAATTGGAAAAAGATTTCACATCATGAACTAAAAGAAAGGAAAAAAAAGTTTTGAGAAATAAGTAACCAAAAACCGAAAATAATTTTATATTTCTAATAAATAAAAAATTTAAAACAAACAACTATAACAAACGGAGCCTAATGATTCAACATTTTCTTTTAATATATGTACGAGATTATAGATTGAAATCTTAATTATGAAGTTCCCGTTTGAAATTTATAAATGCCAAAAATTTATTCGGTCTCTTACATGAACATTGGATGCTTCATCATTGCTTCACATGCACTCATTTGAGGAATACATAAGCAAATGGAATATTCACAACTCATATATCCTCTCGTTCTCTGTATTTAGCCATAGACCTTCAGTGTCTCAAATGGACGAATAGACAACTTGGCTATAACTATGAGTTGGTAGGGGTTTGATAGTTGGATTTGGTTTGATTTAAAATTTATTTAAATAAATTTATAATTGTGGTTTATTAAAATTTTTAATCCAATTAAATCGCAAAAGGTATTTAAAGTACTCCAACCTATGATTTGGTTTTTAAATTATATTTGATTTTTAAATTTTAATATATATATATATACACACACATATTCATATTTTAATTTTATTAAACAATTTATTAATGTACATTTGGAGTATTGATATTGCAAGCCATATTTTTTTCTATATTAATTATTTAGAATTTTTATAAATATAATTTATATAACTAATACGAAACTACAGTTTACATCCAATATACACTAATCAATGCAACGGATATTTTCTTTTCAAAAATTACTTTGAATTGTTGCTAATTTAAAGTTAAGTTAGTTTCAATCTCAAAATCATAAATTAAACCAATAATTTAGTTTTTCAAATTTTGCACGAATGGCATTACTAATTTTTCAAAACCATGATTTTGAATTCGTTAATCTGAAGGCGTATTATCACTATTTAGATAGTAAACTTGGCATAAAAAGGTCGTGTACCGTCTGGGTGGTGTAGTTGGTTATCACGCTAGTCTCACACACTAGAGGTCCCCGGTTCGAATCCGGGCTCAGACATTGATTTTTCCTACCCTTCAATTTTTAAGGCTCGGCCCATTATATACCGTTTTGTGGGCTTCTTTACCATTTTTAGATCTCTGATCGTTCTATTTAAAATATTATTTATGCATTATTCTTGAAATGTTGGAGAAATACACAAAATAATGCCAGAAACCAGAAATTGCAGTATCCTCCTTCTGGTGTTTTGAACAGTCTGCGCTTTGTCTGTTTAATGTTAATATCTTTCTCTTTCAAATAAAAAAAAAAAGGGAGAAAAAAAAATGTTTATGCATATATTTCATTGAAATATTTTTTTCTTCAGGAAATTTCCTTGTAATATTCTGATTATCATTAAATTTATATAAAAGGCTAAAGAAAAACAAGTGTAATAAGTATTCTCTTAAAAATAATATAATATACAATTAATACATTTAATTGTTTAAACCAAAACACTGTTTGCAATTGGTTTGGTGTATATGGACTCATATATTAGGTGTAAGCAAGTCTTTCTCACGATGGAAATTATAAATATCAATATGCCCTGTTAAATATATTGTTTAATGCAATTTAAATTAATTGTCATAAAGTTTATTTTTTTTATTTTAATTCTAGTTCTTTAAGAAAATATCTAAAAATTCTTTGAGAAAATATATAGAAATATTTTATATGATTTCCTTGCATGTTCTTTTCACATATGAAAATTAGAATATTTATTATAGGATGTTCATTAATCGGAAAGAATTTAAAAATTAACAAGTTTATTATTTGGAAGTTTATATATTTTCTTATTTAGTACTATCTCTATTCCATAATACTTGTCACATTTGAAATTTCACATCCCTTAAGAAAATTATTAAATTTGTCTAAGTTACAATAAATTATTTCACATCTCTTGAAGAAAATTAGTTAAATTGTGCTAAAGTTACAATAAATATATTAAGTAAATTTGACTATATTAATTAATTTAATACTATTCTCAATAAATGACCATAATACTTGTCACATTTGAAATTTCACATCCCTTAAGAAAATTATTAAATTTGTCTAAGTTACAATAAATTATTAAGTAAATTGACTATATTACATTTAATTTAATACTAATTCTCTAATAAAACCATTAAATTGAAGTAATAATTACTGATCATGTACAAAAGGTAAACATGAAAAAAAAAAAAGATTTATTACTCATTAAAACTATAAATGTGACAAATATTTTAAAACAAACTATTTTTTTCAAACGTGACAAGTATTATGGAACGGAGGTGGTGGAATTTCTTTTTTCTAGTTAATTATTTAGCTTCATTGATACTATCATCTTTCGTAATTAGAGTTTTTTGAGTATGAAAAAGGAGATTCAAATCTGGATTTATTAGTGTGCGAGAATTGTTTAAATTAATAAAAGTTGAAATTTTTTTATATTTGTCTCTTTCTCTTTGGTAGATTCCAAGAGATTTTGAGTGAAGTTGCATTCTTGTAGTGACTTGCCAAGGTGATGATTTAGCGGTCTACTTCTACCATGACATGGATCATCCTAACGGACTTTTAATTTCTTCAAAATCGAAAGGTACTGCATTTTCTTATTGTTATACAGTTCCACGTATTCTATAACTTTGTCTAGTCCACAACTAAGTGTAACTAAAAGAATTTGTCGAGATTGTTGAATACTGTTGAATATATTGCAGTTAAACCGATTGAATCAAATCAATTCGAATTTATTTTTAAATCGTATGGTTTGATTTTTGGTTTTTATAGAAAAAAAGTAAATTTTTTTTAGTTATGAAACTCAAAAGATAGATAAAACCAATATTTGAACAAATCGGATCTATTTCATAATATTCAGTTTAATTTTTATTTAAAAAATATTTGGATTTATTTGGTTTACAAACCCCCTGCCTAAGAATCAAACTGTAATTGAATATGGAGAAATTTCAATAGAAAACCTAATTGTTGTCTGCCTAAAAGTAGAGAGGCCAAATAACTCAACTCCAAATGCACCACGTGTCCCATAATCACCTACAAAGCTTCTATTTTAAATTTTTACTTTTTGGGTGCTATTGACCCTTTCCCAAGGGCATTTTACTCGGTAAAAATATTTACACGTGTAATTTTCACCAATCTCTTGCAGTAAAAAAACAAAATCATACCCACCTATTACAAAATCACAGCTAGATTCACAACAAATTAAAAAAATTAAAAATATTAAAATGTCCACGTAGCATATTTTCCTATTCAACAAAACCCTCCTAAAAATCTTCACCTTTTGTAACAGAAATCAGTAAAAAGGTTTACTATTTTTTCTACGTCGTTTTCCAAAAATTAATGAAACAAACTCCAAATTAGTTCTGTCTATCTCTATAACCTTTTCATTGATGAGAGAAAGAACTGGAAATAATCAATTTGTTAGATGTTCTCTCATCAAATCTTGATTAACCTTTGGTAAGCTTTCAGTTTTTGTTTCATTTCTCTTCAGAAATTCCTCTTTGTTAGTTAATTTTCATACCCCTTTTGTTTTCTACCTCCTATATATTCTAGAATTGAGTTTTTAATTCCTTCTTCATTGTGTTTTATTCAGAGGTGCAAAGATAAGACTGATTAAACTGGTAATTTTCATATTTAAGTTTTAAAAATCCCAATTAAGGTTAGAATAGAATTCAAATTCTCGAATCTTTTTTTTTCTTCTTCTTCTTTTCTCATTCATTAGTTGTTTAGGTGAATCCTTCATTTTTTGAAATTTTAATTATAACATATAGTGATTTGTGAGAGTATCATCGGTGTAAAGATAAAGCGATTCCACTTGTGATCTAGAGGTCATAGGTCGAGCCATGGAAATAAATAGTGCACCACACGTGAAATGATCATAGTTACACAATTAATGGTTTGTAATTAAAGGAGATTGGATTGTTACTTTTTTGACTAATGGATTGCTTTCCAAAATTTCAGGTGGTATGAATTAAAAACAGCAGCAACTTGTACAATCTCTCTATCTGGATTTTATTCAAAAAGGCAAGACTGTCCACAGGTTTCTTGGGGCATTTTCTTGTACTAGATACACAAAGCTCTCCATTTTTCTTGCTGTTTCTTGTTCATTTACCGTTAAATTTTTAGGCTGCAATAAAAATGGGACTAGAAAGCCTGCAAAGCTTGCAAAATCTACACCTTTTAATTCCTCATCCACCACCTTCATGTAGGAAACCTCTCTGTGCAAGATCATATTCTTTGTCTTCATTCCGTAGCCTCAATAATCACTCTCTTGGTTATTCATTAGGCTATCGGTCTCCTCTTTTCGGTTCTTGTAGTAATCTGAGAACTTTTGGTCTAAAAAGATCTTGCAGTGCTGATTCTAGTGATTTTTTCGACGATGACGATGATTTTGCTCGACATGTCGAAGATTTGAAGCGAAAATTTGATGCAACGGAGGATAGAGATGACCACAAAAATGATGATAATAACAAGAATGATAGGTCTGGTTCATTATCTTCTCCTGCTAAGAAGATTTCGAAAAATCTGAAGTGTGATGATGGTAAAAAGAAAAGTAATAAAGAAAAGAATGATTTGTTTTTGCCTTCAAAGCTTGAGTTTCTTGAGCCTAACTTGCTCGGAATCCGACCAGAGCCACCAGAATGGCCGGAAAGAGATGAGATAGTGAAAATGAGCATTGCTCGAAAAGCTAATAGTGTTGATCAGATTCCATTATCATTGAGGATGATTGGTAAAAAGCAAAAATGGCAAGAGGGTTTTGTGGATGCAGGTGATTTTGCATACTGTTCTGTTAAGAAGGCCTTTTCGTCAATGGTTTTTATGATTAGAGAGCTTCAGAATTATGCATTGTCGATAAGAGGTAGAGTTTACAGTGAAGATTTACAAGCTGTGGTTAATAAGTTTCAGAAGGAAATGAATGCTTCCTTTGTTTGGCTCTTTCAACAAGTCTTTTCAAGAACTCCAAATCTTATGGTTTATGTTATGCTTCTTTTAGCTAATTTTACAGTACATTCAATGGCTGGGAGTATGGAAACTGTTTCGTATAAAAAATTATACCATCTCCCAATAACTACTCAGCAAGTCATTCAAGAACAAATTAGTGATGGTGAGAAACTTTCAACTTCAATTAAGAACCCTAATTTTGGTCTTGATGACACAACTGGGATGTCATCTTTGTCTGAAAATCAAGAAATGACAGAGGAAGAAGAGATAGAGTTATGGAACTTAATAGTAGAGGAAGCTTTAAAACTGCAAGAAGAATCAAGATATCCGGTTCTTGATCAAGAAACTATGAAACAACTTGTTTCACCCATTTCTGTGGAGATTGAACCTGAAGATTACATGGAATTCCATAGGACAGACCTTATTTACCAGATGGGTGTTGCTGAGGATCCTGAAAATCCTCTTTTGCTCTCAAATTACGCTCAGTTCCTCTACATGGTTCGCCGTGACTATGACAGGTGAATGATCATCTCATTTAATCTCAATTATGAACTTTCATTAGTAACCTTAGGGTCCAAACTCATAGTTCCATTCTAGAAGCAAATCCAGTACTATTGAGCTAATGCACATTATTAATTGGTTATTAGAAACCCATTTTGAAGTATGCTTTGTTTAATCTTTTTTTTTTTTTTTTTTTGTAAAGCCTTAGGTCCAAACTCATAGTTTCCATTCTATGAAGAAATCCAGTACTATTGAGCTCATGCACATTATTAAATTTGTGTGTATTAGAAACCCGATGTGTGAAGTATCGGCTTTTGTTTAATCTTTTTTTTTTTTTTTTTTTTGTGAAATTTATAGAGCCGGAGGGAGTGCTTCAACGAGGCCGATATGTTCAGGGCCTACCAGACTCTGAGATATTTCATCATATGCAGATTTTTTTGTGGGTAGTAAAGAAATGACCTATGGTTTTTTTTTTTTTTTTTTTGTGAAATTTATAGAGCGGAGGAGTGCTTCAAGCGAGCGATAATGTCAGGGCCACCAGATGCTGAGATATTCAGTCAATATGCAGATTTTTTGTGGGTAGTAAGAAATGACCTATGGAATGCAGAAGAAGTATATCAGCAAGCATTAGCAGCTGCACCAAACAGTCATTATTATGCGTCCAAGTATGCTAATTTTCTTTGGAGCACCGGAGGCGAAGAAACCTGTTTTCCACTTACCAGTGCTTCTTATAATACAGTTATGTAAGATGAAAATACAAACTAGTTTCCATTATAGAGCTTGCCTTTATAATGGTCAAAAATATATTATTCTGCTCATCCTCTTCTTCCCTTTCCTCGAAAGCAAATATATGTATGTGTGTGTATGTGTTCGCGCATCTGTACACCCATTTGGGGAAGTTTTGCCTGATCTTTAGCTATAACTTCTATTTTTCATGTAGTAGATGTTCTTAGCTGAGCTTATATATATTGCTCGCTAAGAGATCTTCAAGGAGTTATATGCAAAAATCACTGGCATGGATCTGCAAACCTATCTTAAACTATCACAATGAAAATTAGATTTTTGGTATTTTACTTATCTTATTAATTAAATGAGTTAATTGCTAGCTAGCCATTTAATTTTATTCATCAGAGTAATTATAGCTAAACCCATCTCATTTGTGGTCGTTTCAACTGACCTATTAACTCGGCTTGATCCTGATAATTAAACCCATTAAGCAGTTCTTCGCCATTGAAGTTAATTAAGGTCAGGTCAAGGTTAGGGTAGCAGAAATACTAAGTGCAGACTGGTAGCTGAGAAAACGTGGGGATTAATTGGATTCACTATAAAATATTGACATACTAAGTGGATGCAATGCCACACTTCGTCAATTTCTTATATTTGAAAAATACCTGTCAATGATCTTAGTTTTCTGATAGGATGATCAATAAACAAGGAAGCTATAAGTTTATAAATTTTGGAGTATTCTCTCGTCAACTTACATACATCGGGATTAAGTCATTTATAATTTTAAAAACAAACTCCCCTATATCTATCAAATATATTTAATTTCTAATATTTCATATATCGGTTAATTGAACTGAACCAAATCTAAATATTTCAGTTTCGGTAAAATTGAATACAATTTTATGATATTTAAATTCGAAACCATATAGTATAAAACAAAATGAAACCAAATTGAACTAGTTTGTCGTAATCTAAATTCGGACTATTTCGAACCAAATCAAATTTGATTAGTTATATATAGTAACCGAACTAGAATAGAAAACTAAATGGTTTTCAGTGAGCAAACCAATTTGTGACAAACTTTCTAAAAAATCTAATCTAATCTAAATCAAAATGGATCAATTTGATTCGGTTACAAACCGGGGATTGCTTACCCCTATCTGCTCCTCATCAAAGTCCAACTGATTGATAAGTTAGGCTAGCCTATAATAATACTGTGTAGTCTTTTCTTTATTTCAACTTGCTCGGTCATAGGCCGCCATGGTCAATAAGTCCTAAGAAACGTGCAGCTTGCTCTCGGTTCTCCTGGTCAACTGATATCGAACAGCTGGTTATTGGTTGAAATCCAGTGAAGTTAAACTGTATTTGTTAACTAGTGCACGCCAAACTCTGCATGAGAACGTTGATGGTGATAGAAACTAATACAGTTTCATGATCTTTGGCATAAAACCTGGAGATGGCATTAGACCGCCCGCCAGTTCTAGAAGCATCTGTGCCAAATTTTTGTACTTACTATATTTGGATTATGTTCGCCTACGGGTTTTTTTTTTAAGTTATTTTTAACATTTTGATACACCAATTTTTATAGTGTTCATTAACATGATATTTTTAAAAGGTTAATCCCTATAAAAAATAACTCATATAATATTTAATTTTTAACATTTTACAAAAAACTACATAAATAGCTACTAATTACTAAAACAGCTAATTTTACCGAATATACCATCCATCTTTTTTATTTTTTTAGTATAGAATATGCAGATAGAAATGGAAAGATTGGTAACAGTTTATGTTTAGTTTTTTATTAGAACTTATTCATGAAATCATTCTTTAGAAAACATTCATAATTAGCAACTTAGTTCCAATTAGTGTAAATTAGCAACTTCTTCAAGTAACTGATGCATCAGTATATCTAAAATCTTGACAGGTTAGATTTATCCAAAGATAGTCATATTTAGCTAAAAATTACAGCAAAGGAGTTTCATTCTACGACAAAACTCCACTCTTTGGTATTAATTCAGAGGGCAAAATATATATCGCTACTACTGGCAGGAATTTGTCTTCTAGTTCTAGTTACATGGTAAGAATATAAGTAATCAATCTAAGTGGAGAATGTTAAATTAGCTTCTATCTCAAAAAAAAAAAAAAAAAAAAAAGTAATCAATCTAAGTGGAAATGTTAAATTAGCTTCTATTCAAAAGTAAAAAAAAAAGAATATAAGACAAGATAAAAAAAAAAAAAAAAAAAAAAGACAAATAATGTAGAAGCTAAACTATTATACAGCTCAAAAAGAATGGGAATCGCTCAATGGATTACCAAAAAAAGTGGAAATTCAGCAACTGGAGGAATCTCCAGAATCACCAAAACCAGGCATGGCGGCTGTCAACAGCTTTGACAGATGTCGATACCAGGGGCATTCGCCCAAACTCCGCAACAAATCTGTTAACACATTGTGTTCTTTTTTCGTTATGACCTCCCAAGCTACTAATTCCAGTCGAACCAATCTCAAATATCCTACCTATAATGGCAACATCAGAGAAATAATGTCAAATATATGTAAGTCTGAAATGATAGGAGAAAAATTTATTCATTAAGATCATGATATGCTCCATACAAACATAATCTGGTAACTTTGCTACAACCAGAGAAATTTATCCAAGTTTTTCAGGAGGAATTAACTGAAATTGCAGTACTCCTAGGATACTAGTACTATTACTGACCTAAATCTAGGACTCTTAATCCTGATGCAATCTAGGTCTCTTACTCCTGTTGGCATCAGGTCCCATGAAAAAGTTCTTGTCCATAGAAACATTATGGTATGTAATAGAAATTTAATCGAGGATATGATGAATCACAGCAGTCCATCTCACACCTAGTACGTATTTAACAAGAAACATATTTGTACCGACAAATAACCAAGATGGTGGTGTTTTCATGTTCTTGAGGCGAAGGTTACAGGAAGAGAGAGAACAACTATCGTAAAATTCTGAAGATTTAATACATGAATAGCTATGGAAGAGTTTCAATCTTTTCTATAGCGAGTTCCCTAGACAAGGCACCTGTACACCATATGCGCTGTCATCCACATTTTTTGCAAATCAAATGACACATTTAGAATTTAATCTAATAGTAATAGTACTAAAAAAAAATAAATAAATAAAACTTATGTTACACTATTCAATAGCTCACCGGCCTATATTCCATTCTGTTTTTATTTTCTTTATTTTTTTCTTTTAGATGTCTGAATAGCCAATTTAAAAAAACAAAAAAAATGAATGAAGGGATCAGGCTCAAGTTCTATATTCTGAAACATACACTCAAAACATGCACAAAGAGACAGGGCAGGGTGGTGCATTTAAGAAGAAAATGATAAGGTTCAAATAATACTCCAAAAAATCAATTGCTCGTGCCAAGATTTTTTTCCTAAACTATTTATTTATTACATAATGTTAAAGGTTTTTCTCCACGCGCCACAACCCAGCCACGGTCACTCTGTGCCCAGCCCCATTGCCATAAATATTCATTAGTCCCTCTTTTATAAACCTATAGGGCTCTGCCAGACCAATAAACCATTTTCTGGTGATAAAATTTTAAATATTTTAAGGAATAGTGATATATCCATCTGTTCACAATCCTATATTCATGTACGATAAATATGACATTGAATGAATGTGGATAAACTCTCCCCAACTATTGAAGTCGTTCTCTTCTATTGTTTCACGAAACTTTCTATGCTTAAACAATGAATCAATTATCCAGGATTTAATGAAGCAAATCAGACATTGATCCTATTTCCGGAGAACATTTCAAGACGCATAACATTTATACAGGCAGTTCTTGGTCATTTAATACTTATGCCTGTCAACCTCCAGCCAAAGGTCCTGAATCTCAAGAGAGAAGAGAAAAGGTAGAATGCGTTCCACAGACAGCATGAAAGCAATAGTCTAAATGATTTCCCAAAATAGGTCACTTAGATAAGGACTTTGCACCAGTAAATCATGTATTGCCACCCCAAGTTTTCAAATCAAAAGGCAAACAAACTTTATCCACCTTATACTAGACCCCGGGCTCCACAATTTGTCTTAGTCAGGTTTTGCTCATTGCCTAACATCTCATTCTGTTATCCTTACTCTCATTATCAAATGACCTTGTTATTCCTCTTACTACTACATTTAAACAGTTAGCTTATTCTACACATAAGCAAACAAATAAATAGTGTTTTCCAGAAGAGATCTGTAAAATAGCTAAAAAGTGCTACAAGGATGAGGATCAAGTTGACCATGACAATGTGAGGCATAGTTACCAATGTACTGAGTATGAACGTAACCTCACAAGATATGATAACCAAACGATTGGAGCAACCACCACAGGGTGGCCCTCAAGGACTTGAAACCTAAGCACTTAAGTACGCGCAAGTTTTTTCTTCTTAACTTTTGCTGCATATATTTTATTATATCATATAGCATCAGAATTTCCACCTTTGTATTCAATTACCAATTAGATTGTTAATGGTCAGGCAGATAGCGCAACATTAAACACCACTAAAATAAAATAATTAAATAAAAAGTTATTAAGACAGTGAGATTTTGGGAACATCCACCTTTAACCCAGATAGGTGGAGCACCAGTTGCATTTGCAACGAGAAAGGACATTGCAATATCTTCACAGTTCCTGGTGAATCCATTCCAAGATAAAAGAATGGTTAAGCGTAAAAACAATACAACAGAAAACAGCAAGAAAGGACAAGAAAAAATAGTATAAAAAGAAGAACCTGTTCTTTCTTGTGTATTCTCTGATTGATGTTGGCATCTCATTCGTGTATAAGCTTAGATACTTTTTGTGGAAAAAAGCTGCCTTTGAGAGTATCATACTGTATGTACCTGTCCACCAAACAGACCACCATCCACCATATATGTAGTAGTCCTTTTTCCCTTGCTGCATAAAATGTACAAATTGAAAATATTTAGTCAAACTCAAATATGCTCCATGAAGGTAAATGTTTGGTTCCTAAAAATAAATGATGGCAGATAGGAAACACCTAATGCCATTGGCATATTCACATTCCAAGCAGCATTGCATAATTTCCTTAAAACACCTTCAGTCAACTACTAGCTACTATTATATTTCCAAGTATAAATGTACAAGAATACCCTGAGGTAAACAGTACCATTGTACCAAGTCTTGCACCAATTAATGCTTTCATCAGGTTGATCTATGATGTTTGCACTGCTTGATGCTATTTTCTGTAATGTGTCTACATGAGTAGACAAAGACCTCAAAAGTTTTATTTAATTGAGATAGTCATGCATAATTTAGAACATGGCCTAGCATAACGTATGACCCCATCACTTTAGCAGGTCAAAAGTTTACTTTGAGTAGCACTAGCAGTCACAAGTTTTGCATCTTTTGATACGGATATTATCAAATGAAGAGATGTATGAAGCAAAAAGGAATCCAAATCAAGCAATTTATGTGACTTGATGACACAAACTTGAAAAGTATAAACAAGAAACTATACTGAAGCAAGAAATAAATTAAAGCCAATACCGATCGATCAACCCAATGGGCACGGGGCACGAAGCCCACCATTGTATCTGGAGCACTTTGCCAAACATTGAAAGCAAATTCCACAGAAGAGCAAGGAAATATAACATCATCATCAATTGAGAAAACAGCATCAGCCTTTAGATCCTTAATTTCTTTGAATCTGTTATTCAAACTGTCTTCCTTGTTGATGTCAAATTTCAATTCAACCTGCCTCACACCTTTTGAGTTCGATTGTACGACATGGTTTAGATACTTAACTAGAGATTCTGATGGAGGACTAGGCTCACTCCACACAATATGTATAGAATCCAGTCCAGCACATGATGAATAGTGAGAAATTGACTGCTTCAACAAATCATATCTCTTCCAAGTGTTAATTAAAATAGCATAACCTTTCCTGTACAAAAATTTCCAATTCAAAACAATATCATAAGACTTAACATGTCTGCCATAATGCAAGGCATTGAGAGTGGGAATAGGACAGTTCCACACAAATAATATTCTATGCTTATAAAGGTAGATTCCAGACTTGATCACAAATGCTTATTCCTCAAAATGCAACAGAATATTTAGAAATACAGAATCACATTCTATTTTATCCATGCACAAATCATCTCAAGGTATGTAAATATCAACTGACAATCACCATAAACACAAAACAGGACATGGTAAAAGAAAATTTGTAAAAACCTGGCTTCATTGTTCAGCCAAAAGAAATAACATCACTCCTAATTTCCACAAACTTGCTCATTCTCGACATCAATTATTTAAATTTGACTCTTTTGCCAGGAAATCTGTTTCGTCAAGAATAATTTCAATAAGCATGAACATCAACAAGTACTCTCTTCTGAAATCCAACATTTGTATATGGAACGAAATAAAATCTAAGTAATGCTGAAACGTGAGTTTAATAAATCAGTGAACTTTATGATTTTTTTTTCCCCTATTAACTGATGTTCAAGCTGCTCTAATTTGGGAACAGACTACTTCTGCAGCTACAATTCCCAAGCAATAGTTCTGCTAAATCTAAATTAACATAATCATCCGCCAAGTAAATCTGTCCACATATTGCTTACTAAATAAATCTGTATCAAATAAAAGTAACAAACTTTGCGGTGTCCAATTCATTGAAAAAGAAAAGCAAATTGATTTACCTAATCGGAATCTAACAACATTCAAGGTAAGTTAAAATATACCAAAAATAGAACCAATATATTTATAGGAATACGTACCCCGTAGCAGAGAACTGCTGAGTAGGAACACTATGTTTGGTCCACTTTATGAAATCTGACGCTCGACCAGCAAGCACTAGCATCGTAAAAGCTATACAACAACACAATAAGATCTTGATTTTCACCGATCCAGTAACAGCAATCGCGAGTTGCCGAAATCTCTGCAACCCACGACGGTTATTCAACAGGCTCCCTCTCATCACCGCCAGTGTTGCTTCTTTTTTCTTAGAATTAACAATCAACTCAGACTCAGTGACTCGCCAGCCAAGCCGATCCAGGACGACTAGAGTACAAGCCCACTCAGCGGGCTCTGCAAGTAAAGCAAGAAAGTATAAAATCAGACAGTGCTTTTCGCGGTGTTCTTCAACGGTGAACGGCGCGGAGAGGTTTTTGAAGAGGATGGACTGAGAGGAGGGAGGGAAAGGGAAGAATGCGAAGCAGAAAGAATTGGGTGCACCAAAATGGAAAACAAAGACACGTGTCGATAGTTAATTGGTGATTAGAGATGCAGTATGGCCCGTCGTTACATCGGTTTGTTTTTATTTTTTACTATTTGTAGCCTTTCTCTGTTCATGCAACGAATGGGGACTGTTTGGATTTCAGGCTCTGATATCCTAGTTTAGTGCACCAAAACCGACAGTGACCATTTTGGTGTTCGTTCCACGTGGCGAACGTTTAGTAGTTTTTGTTTTGACTGTTGCGATGGGCATTTAATGTTGTGAGTTATTGTGCACGACTCTACTCTCCCTTATTATTCTTTGTAATAAATATAAATATAATAAAAATATGATTAGTAATTTAGTAATAATATCAATATTTGAATTATATGTTAATATATTGCTTAATGTAATGATTAAGTAAAGAATTAAATGGTTGAATCATTAAGATGAGATTGAAGAATTAAATAAAATATATTATTTAATTTCATTACAAAAGTAAAAATTGCAAATTATTTTTTCGTATTTATAAAATATATGAATCGTTGAATATCAGACTAAATTGCATTTATAAATCATCACGAACAAGTCAAATTGAATCATGAATATCCTACTTTAAACATATTCAATAAAAAGAAAAATAAAATGGATTGTGTTATAAAATAAAAAAATATTTTATATGTTCTTAAAAATTTGTATAAGTACCAAAAAAATATGAGAAATTTTAGTAAGTTTAATTAACAAATAATCCTATTAATTAATTAAGCATAATTGCTAAATCATAACCCTCTAATTTAAAAGTCAAGGTATTTATGTTTAAACTATAAATTGACCATCAAACTAAAATATATAAGGGGTGTCACCATACCAACACTAATTCACCAGAGTAATAAAATGACTGATCTCTTGAGAAGTCCTCGTATTGCACCCCTCTTTTTAAATCTTTCAAAAAAAAAAAGAAAAAAAAAACTTATAAACTAAATAATTTTAAAAATTAAAATATTAGGAATGGAATAATTTGATTTTCAAAATAAAGGTTCTAACTTGCAAATTAAGTTAAATATTGAGGACTAAATCATTAAAATTAATCCTTTTTTTTAAATGAATTATAGATAATTAAAAATAATAGGTTTAAAAAAAAATAAAAGGAAATATGAAGATAATTATGTCTTTCTTCCTTATATATGAAGATAACTATCAATTCAAAAGTTAAAATCAACAACAAGATGATAAAATATACTATAAATTGCTAAATTTAGGTACACAATAATTTTGAAATGATGTGAAGAAAATCAATCAGAATAAATCTGGCTAGCAAATAAATAGCTAAATAAAATTTTAATAGTCCTTTTCAAATTGGATATTTGAAGATTGATAACTTAAAATGGCAGGCTTAAAAGAATAAGCCCATTCTAAATTTTCTTTAGGTAGCCCATTTAAATATCATAGTTGGATTTGATAGCTGTGTTTTCAGTCTGGTGCTCCATCTACTTGGGATTCAATAGATGTCTCATATTTTAACATTAAATAAAAAATGAAGTAAGTGGGAAAAAAATGAAACAGATGATTCCCTCAAAAGAACCAAAAAAAAAAAAAAAAAAAAGATAGCTGTGTTCAGTCTTGGTGCTCCATCTACTTGGGATTCAATAGATGTCTCATATTTAACATTTAAATAAAGAAATGAAGTAAGTGGGAAAAAAATGAAACAGATGATTCCCTCAAAAAGAACCAAAAAAAAAAAAAAAAAAAGTCAAATAAAAAAAAAAAAAAAAAAAAAAAAAGTCAAATAAAAAGATTGCATGATCACATCACACTATGAAGATCTGTTGCCGTAAGGTTCACTCATTTGTTCATTGATTGCAACCAGAAAATAGGAACAGGTTTAGTCAAAAGTTTGGAATGTTAGAGAGCAAAAATAAAAACATTGGACCAGCTATATATCATATGCTACCCACCGGCAAATTTATATTGGCCAGTAATCAAAGCTTTGGCTCGAAGAATATGAGCACTTGGTGTTCGTGAATCTCATTGTCACACCATAGTTATCCAAACATCAATCATCAAAAACACTAGAGAAATTTTTACCTTCTTTGCAGGTGATAGTCCAATGTACCGAACGCTCGTACCGGGTTTAATAATTTACCATAAAATGAGTCGATCACTTATGTAATTAAAAAATAAAAGGCGTTGAGTTTGAATCATCTTAATCATAATAGTTTTTATTAATTTAGTGATATAAAGAGAGGACTACTCCTATTTCAGTCATCGAAAAAAAGCATATTTCTGTATTTTTGATATTGTAGATTAATAATTAAATAATAATAAACAAGGGCAATTTCAGAAGCAAACCATGTAGATTAAATTTGAACTCCTAATAAACTATTTAGGTCTGGTTGAATATGTCCTAATCAAAAACCTTAACTAGGAATCATACTTGATAAAAAAAATATTTTCTCAAAAAAAAATGATAAAAATATAATTATTAAAGTAAATGGCCTTAATGCAATGGGCGGTTGCTTGACACACTGTTGCCACCTATTTTAACCACCTATTCTTGACATTATTGTATATAGTAATTAATTTTCTGAATTGCATCTCTTTTTGTTTTTTTTTTTTTTTTTAAATTTTACACCTATTCTGGGACACTTTATGTGTATATCACGTAATTATCTTTCTTTCTGAAATTCGCACTCCTCTTTTTGTTTTTCTTTTTTTTTTCTTCTTTGTATACAGTTAAAAAAGACAACGCGGCTAAAGCGGCTACCCAATTACCCAATTACTATAATTTATCATAATAAAAAAAACATTACATAGTCTATCTCTGCTTCTTGGATAAACTTCAATCTGGAAATGACCCACTTGACAAAATTCATTCATTTCAAGACAAATTAGGGGTTCCAGATCCAATATATGCTCAGACAATAAGGGAGGAGACTTTGTAATATCTTTTTTTTTTTTTTTTTTTTTTTGTATAAGTTAAAAAAGACAAGCGGTACCCACTTACCAATTAATAATTATATAATAAAAAAAATACCATAGTCCCTATTTGCTTCTTGGATAAATTAAATTGGAAAATGACACATTGAAAATTATTAATTAGAAAAGTATAGGGGTCCAATCCAATATATGTAGAAATAAGGGAGCAGACTTTGTATATAATTCTGTTTTTTATCCTTGTCACTACCTACCCACTACCCATATTCATATAATATTTTAATATAGTTTACTCAAATTTTATTATTAAATTACTCTTAAAAGTCCATTTTAGAGACTAAATTAGACATTTAGTGAAATTTTAAAAGCCAACTTCAATATTTACCCTTTTAATTTTTCATTTTTTGCTTCGTTTGTAACCGAATGATTTTATTCAATTTTTATTACCGACTGCTAATTTTTTGAATACAACAGAGAAGATTAGACCGAAAAAAAATCAATCTCAATAAGTTCAAATAACATTAACCAAATTAGTATTTAATAACTCTCGAATCTTTTGAGTAGAAGTCTTTTATTATCTGTAAGCATCAAGATCCCAAAATTTCCATTTTTAACTATAAAATCCGCAATAAAGTTTGCTTCACGGAATACATGAATAATTTCAACCTACCACCATACAAACGAGCTTTTCTTTTTTTTTTTTTTTGGTAAAGAAAAGAGAATAGCTCTAATAAGATAAAGACTGCCTAGAACAAACAAGCTATTTTTTAATTACTGCATTCAAAGATTATTTTTTAAATGATGATTTAATAATCAAATATAAATATAACATTATAATATATGCTATAGGCTAGACAGGCAAAATTATATGATTGTAACCTAAAATATTCTTTTACCACAACAAGATGATTTCTTCTTTATTTTTTTACGCTATGTAATGCAAAATGTTCGTAAAGATGGCACATACAACGTGTAATTTTATTTTAAAGAAAAAAGATTTTTTTTTTTTTTTAAATATTATCTGCACAACTCACTACAACTAAACTGTTGGTATAAAAATTATTGGGTAATAATTTTAATTATCAGTTGAAATGACAGAAGAATTATTCTGTATTTATTAATTAGAAACCTAATTTTAGAATCAAAGAGGAAATATTTTATTTCCTTACATCCAGCATAAGAAGATGAAGTTAATATATTTATAAGGAGAGTGGATTCTAATATCATATATCGCAATAATTTAGATAGTCAGATTCGAAATTTATAATTATCAGTAGTGAAGAAGATTTATTTTGAAAACCATCGTTCATCGGAATACTAACACCGCACGATTCAAAAAAGTATTTTATATTAAATAAGTTTCGTTTATATAAATACGTGGGAACATCATGTTAAAAATAAATAATAAAAAATTCATGTATATATCAGTACAGATGTAAATAATCATTAACCGAACCGCAATCGATAAATTTCAAATTTAGTCTATAAGCTTGCTCAAGAGAAATTTAAATTTTATTAAATTAATTGGTTTGAATTGAAAGTATTCTTGCTTCGGATAGATTAGATTTAAAACCAAATTGATATGTTAAAAACCAATGGAAATCGACTAAATCAATTGATTTGAAGCCTGGAAAGTGGAAGAAAAATATTTTTCATCTTGATTCGGTTCAATTTAAACCAAACCAATAATTTGCTAACCCCTAATTATTTTATTAAAGCATCTCCAATGCAAATATTAATTATGTTAATTTATTTGCCATGTCTAAAAGATTGAAAGTTAAAAAAAAAAAAAAATTCAACGTTATCGTCTAAATAGACGTGAGTCTGATGTGTCAAAAATAAAAAGAGACATCGTCTATCACGCTTCTCTATGTTTAGAGGGGTGACTCAGTTTTTTATTTTTTTTCCTATTTTTCATTTTTTTTCTTATTTTTTATTTTTCTTTATGCCTTCTCCTTTATTTGCGTTCAAATTTCTTCTCAAGCTGAAACTTACTTCTTCTTTGTGCATTGGAGACCATTTTAAAAATCTAACGCTTAGAAATGTACATTCAGTTACATCATCATCCGCAATTTCATTATTATCCACAATTTCTATTTATTAAAACACATCATTAACGATATATGGTTGGATAGGAAATGCTCTCAGACTCTCAGTTCCTACTAAGCCACCATTTCATTATCATCCAATCCCAACATGCCAGCTCAGCAAATGCTGCGGCCCTTTTGTAAAGGGTGGAATTATCATTGGCTTCTAACACAGACAAAAATTAAACAACAGAAAGGATAAACTATTGATGTCATGCCATTCCCATTTCATTTTTAATTTATTTTTTCGTTTGAAAGAAAGAATTTTAAAAACAACAAAATGATTAGTTGTAAACTCTGCACTTCTTTTTTTTTTTTTTAAAGTAAATTATGTACTGCTTAATGATGCATATATATTAATTAGTTAAGATTCCTAATTAAGCAAACACGATTAATTAATTAATTGTTTTATGCATCATTAAAAGCTAAAAACCCGTTTAAAAAGGATAATAAAAATTTATTATCAATGTCACAATTTGCCAGAACAAATAGGAAGTTGCAAGCGGTTAATTACATCCCATTTATTTTTCATCTATTATTTTATTTCCTTTCTCTCTTTTAATTAAAAAATTTATAAAATCAATAAAAGGGCAATTTTTACCAATTATAATTATTTGTCAAAAATTTAAATTGTTTAATAATTTCGTTAATTTTTTATATAATTAATTTAAATTACACCTATAATACCAAATTACTTAGACTATATTTTATTAACTAACAATAAAATTTGGAACCAAGATGACCAACAATAATACAATATTACAAAATGATAATAGCTAGAATTATAAATAAGTTTAGCACGTCAATTATTATTGAATTTAAATTTAATTTAAGTTTAAAAATCAAGTTCAAACTCGAGATTTACTCATTTATAATTCACAATTATATATATTCACCTTTTTAGGATCAAATTCATAAATAAGTTTTAGCTTTGACTTGTTAAATTTTTCAAAAAAAAAAAAAAAATTTATGTCTCAAAATATAAATCGTTTAAAATTTTTGCATAAGACTTAAAAGAAGCAATTAATTCTTCTAAATTATAATAAAACTAAAGATAGTTTGACCAAATTATATTTATCACAAAATCAATAGTTATTTATTACTCTATCTATTTCAAAATATAAGACTTTTAAAGTTTTTGCACAAGAATTAAGGAAGTAATTAATTCTTTTAATTATAATAAACTCAAGAGTAATTGATCAAACGATCATTTTATCTCAAAACTAATAGTTGTTTATGAAGTATTTCTTATATTTAGTGTAAACAAGGGTAATATTGAAAAAACATCATTTATTATTTTTTGAAATATACAAAACGATTTATATTTTGAGACAAAATAACAAACAAAAAATCACTTATATTTTGGGACAAAGGGAGTAAAATATTTATTGTATCTAATATCAACAATGGTAACATTGGAAAATATTATTTATTACTCCTTAAAATACTTAAAATGACTTATATTTTAAGACAAAATAATCACTAAAAAAACTATTTATATTTTAAGACAGATGGAACGTTATTTATAAAAAATAAAATTAACTTTTGAGTAGTAGCTAGTATCGGCTCAATATGAAAATTCATTATTGTAGTTTCACAATGAATTTTATAATAATTTCAACCTTTACTCTTATATATTAAATAATTTAACTTATAAAACTAGATATTATATATTTATTTGACACTTTAATTTATAAAATTTGATCTATTAAATATGTGTTGAATAATTAAGAATTATTAATTTAAAAATTATTAACCATATACTAAATTAATATGTTGCATAAAAAAATTAAAAAATTTGAAAATTATTATTTTTAATGTAAAAAGGTGTAAAAGGTAAAATTAGGGTGAAAGAATTTTTTTGGGGTTAAAATTGAAGAGTTAAATTACTGCTCAAATTCATAAGGACAGCTCAACCAGCAAATATTTTTGGGAAAACGTTTCACAAGATTGTGAAGCCCAATGTTGTCAGCATAAAAGCACTAACGTGGCAGTGAATTTGTGGTTTTAAGTGTAACGCAATTTTCTGTTAGCCACATGTCCCAAAATAAGCACGCGGCACATGTGACAAGCTGTAGTAGATTGTACAGCCGAAAAAAAGGTCGGCAGCCATGGACCCAGGACAGGACGAACCAACTCCTAGTGTAAGTCAATTTGGAAATTGGTATTCTTCTTTTGGAAAATTGTCACTTGTAATAAAATTGCTATTTACTCTTTACCTTGAGTCATATTTATGCTGATAACTTTATCTTAGCATTGGGGCTGCGTAAATCCGGATTACCAAGTTAGAGTGACAAAATACATGTTTAAGATTACCTAATTTCTATTAAATGCGTAATTTCTATCTTTATTAAGCTGAATTGCCCGTAAACGGATCCCCAATGCAACATTATGCAACATATAATGTGTATAAAAATTGTAATTAAAATCCGTAACAGGATTGTAATAAAAAGTACTGAATTTAATAGATAAATATGATAATTTTAGAGATATTAAGATGATTTTTATAAAATATTGTTCTCACACTTTATAAAAATTGAAAATAAATCGTATTAAAATTTAAAATTCTATAAGTTTCTTTAATTTACATTTTGATCCCGTTTGTTTTAGTTGTTTATATTAACGAATAGCTAATGACGATAGCTAATAGCTGGTGTCTAATGGCTGGTGTGACTAATAAATGTTGGTGATAAAATTTTGATATCGGTTATTGTTAAAATGTAAACGACTATTAAATAAAATTATTTTTTTATACATTATTATGTATAATGTATATTTTTAAATTAAATATATTATTATTTTTATTCTATTGTATTATATAAATAAAAATTAATTAAATTTTAAATAATATATTATAAAAATTATTACTTTTAAATAACTATAAATAAAGTAATTATAAAATTTTAATTTTAAAATTTTATTAATTATTATTTTTCTAAGATTAATGGAGTTCAAATAATATAATAATCACATTAGCAGCTATTAATTGTAGATTAAAAAGCTTACCAAACACCTACAAAATTACCTATTCGGTATGAATCAGTCATCAATTGTACGAATAAGTTGAACATTATTTTTTCTATTTACAAATACCTTTAATCTAATAATTAAGCATTATAAAAATAATTAACATGGTCAATGTTATGCAACACTAGTCGTTCAAGAGAAAAAAAACATAGTAATGGTATTGTCAATCTGTGAGACTCCTAGGAAAAAGGGAGATTTTGACCGAAACGTTCAAAATCGGCTAGAATCGACGGAAAATCGGTTGGAGAACCGGCCAAAACCGTCGATTTTGAAACCATTGAGGAAACGAAACTGGAACAGCTCGGTTTCAAACCGTAATCAAAACCGTTAATTTTTGGTTCGATTCTGGAACCGTGGCCACCCCTATATTTATGCTGATAACTTTATCTTAGCATTGGGGCTGTGTAAATCCGGATTACCAAGTTAGAGTGACAAAATACATGTTTAAGATTACCCAATTTCTATTAAATGCGTAATTTCTATCCTTGTTAAGCTGAATTGCCCATAAACGGATCCCTAATGCAACATATAATGTGTATAAAAATTGTAATTAAAATCTTCTTGAGCTGTAACAGGATTATAAAATATCACAAATTCTACAATTTTAGCCAATCATATGGAAAGAAATTGGTCCAAAATTTCCAAAATTAAACTTTCAAAACTACTCTTTTTCTTCTCTTCTCCTCTCTTCTGTTCAATTCACTTGTTGTCTTTAGCCCACCACTACATTATTGAGAGATGGACGGTGGTTTAATCAAACATCACCAATTCAATTATACTAACATGTGGCCACCCTTGCGCCAACTATGAATTACACTATACAATCCTATGTCGTTTTCACCAAACATTTCTCAGGGTAGTATCGTCATTTCATTTAAAATAATAAAATACCAATTAGAGACTACCGGAAAATGATTGGTCGGCCACAAGATAACTTACAATTTTCAATTAAATACAGTCATTAGGCCCCACCACTTTTACTATATAATGAATCACCGTAGACTCACTCTCCACTGCCACAGATCAAACGGTCACTCACAAGAAATCTCTCTCTCTATAATTTGCCATTTTTTGGGCTAAGCAGAAAGTACACAGCTATTAGCTATGGAGGGCAAGGAAGAAGATGTTAGATTGGGAGCTAACAAGTTCAGAGAGACACAACCCATTGGCACGGCTGCTCAGAGCCAAGATGACAAAGATTACACTGAACCACCACCGGCGCCACTTTTCGAGCCGACTGAGCTTACTTCATGGTCTTTTTACAGAGCTGGTATTGCAGAGTTTATAGCCACTTTCTTGTTCTTGTACATATCAGTTTTGACAGTTATGGGCGTGGTTAAAGCTCCTACCAAGTGTTCAACTGTGGGTATTCAAGGAATTGCTTGGGCTTTTGGTGGAATGATTTTCGCTCTTGTATACTGTACTGCTGGTATTTCAGGTTCGTCCACTTTTGCCGTTTGGTCAACGTTTTTGCTTACAGAAAACAAAATTTGGTAATAACTCTTTTTTTTCTGTTTGTGCAGGAGGACACATAAATCCGGCGGTGACCTTCGGGCTGTTCTTGGCAAGAAAATTGTCCTTGACAAGGGCTATATACTACATGGTTATGCAGTGCCTTGGAGCTATCTGCGGTGCTGGAGTTGTGAAAGGATTTGAAGGGCGTAAACAATATACTTTGTTGGGTGGTGGTGCTAACAGTGTTGCTCCTGGTTACACCAAAGGTGATGGCCTTGGCGCTGAGATTGTCGGTACCTTCGTCCTTGTCTACACTGTCTTCTCTGCTACTGATGCCAAACGTAATGCCAGAGACTCCCATGTTCCTGTAAGTCCCTTATGTTTAACCTTATGTTTAACTTCTTCCACATCAATTCCTATGTTTTTAATACATGTATTGATGATTATGTAAATTGTGGTCAGATTTTGGCACCATTGCCAATTGGGTTCGCCGTGTTCTTGGTGCACTTGGCTACAATCCCAATCACAGGAACTGGTATCAACCCAGCTCGTAGTCTTGGTGCAGCAATCATCTTCAACAAGGACCAGGGCTGGGATGACCATGTAAGTCTTTCTGTTTAAACCCTAGTAATTACAGAGCCCATTGTTGAGTTCTATTAATATTGTTAATTATTAATATGCTTGTTGATCGAGTGATCGATGGATTTGTTTGATTTTGCAGTGGATTTTCTGGGTGGGTCCATTCATCGGAGCAGCACTTGCCGCTCTGTATCACCAAGTTGTGATCAGAGCCATTCCTTTCAAAAAGTGATCATGATTGATGCATATATGTTTGTGGCCGTTTTATATTTTCAAGATAAAGATCAAGCTCAGTTTATGTCATTTTCTATGTTTGATTATCTACTTATCTAAGCACATGTAATAATAGTATTATGCATACTTTTTCTTTAAGGATCCTTTTATTTACCTTCTTCTTTTTTATTTGAGGAAGGGAAGTTGGGTTCGTGAGTGATGGGGTCCATCTTAAGAAGGTGGACTATATGTATCATATGTGTATGGTTGTGAATTGTGGAATGTCATTTTCTTGTTACCGACCAAAAACCTACTCCCTCTTAGCTCATGCTCTAAAATTATAATAATTGACCATTTGGGAATTTTTATTTTTCTTCTTTTATGTTATAATTTAAACCTTTTGTCATGTGTGATGCGGGATTAGGTAGCTCTTGATGATAAGGCTTTGCTTCTTTCCATTGTCCTTTTCTTTATCATCACAAGATTAGAGATAAGGTTAATTATTGAAGCTAATGCTAGATGAAGATGATAATAATACTTAATACTTTCTTTTAATTATAGTCTTTTGTTATTTCCTGTGCCAGATAGGGTTAGATAAAATTATACTCAAAAGTATATAATATAGTAATGATTGGTATCAAAGTTAGGTTACAGGTCCTGATCGAAAGAATAGCTAGATATTAAAAGCAAAATTAATTGTTTTGATAGTTATTAACTGTTTTAACAGTGTTTAGCATATAAGTTTTTAATTAGTTAATTATATATATAAAAAAACTAGAGATTCAAAAGGTGTTTTCGGCAAATTTAATTATTTTAATAATTATTAGCTGATAGCTGTTTGATTAGTTTTTTATAAAATGTTAAAATATAAACTTTATAAGGTTAATTTTTTATAAAATGTTATTTTAATATCTAAAAATTAGTTCAAACGCTATGATATTAAAGACTATAAAAAACTATGTTCGGTGTTTTGACCATCAATTTAAAAAAGTTATTGAGCTAATTTCTACATCTCATATTGAACTTTTGTTTTTTGGTGAAAAGTTTAATAAATAACTTCAGCTTCCGAGAGGTAAACTCAATCTTTATAAGGATAATAATATAAATTTGATATCGAGAAACACACCTTTATGCTGTACGATTCGAGAGAAATTACACCTACACTAAAAAAAATTAATGAACAACTAGTCCCATTAACCATGATAATTCCCTGAGCAATTGTATTAACTATTGGATTTTATTATTTATAAATGGATCCTATAAATTAAATTCATTTAAACCAAATAAGGTTCATGCTTAAAAGACTATAAGTTGGCTACTAGGAAATGAAAGGAAGTATGTTATATATACATTAATCTCTTCTAAGATAGGATCTGAAATAGAATATCAGAAAGTTCTAATATTCTAATATATTAGAAAGTTATTCTATACATTAATTCTCTTCTAAGATAGGATTCTGACAATCAGAATATCAGACAAGTTTTAATATTCTACTATAATTAGAAATTATATATTATTACTATATCATAATACTTATATATATATTTATATATATATATTACACAAATCAGATGAACAAATTACATCAAAGATCTTATTATATTATATGTACATTATTGATGGATGATGATTGAAAACTCACTCCAATAACAATAATAATTTTTAGTATTGATGGAAAGGATCTAGAATTTAATTTACAGCATATTCCAAATATGCAGTCAGTGTCATATTACATCATTATTCTGAAATTATATATATAAATTGCAGTAGGTAGATATACAGTTCAACAGAGATTCTCAAATTGCAGACGGGGGTCTATTTTTGGCTCAAAACTAATCATGCATTATCATTAAAATAATTAAATTAAAACATATGGATTGTGGCTCAGTTGGCAACAAGGCTAGATATGTGGGAAGAGCTTTTGGTTTCAACCTCGCTAAACACATTTGTAAAGAAGGACGAAAAACCTTAACTGTAATTAAACTCTAAGCCGTATTAGGTAATCACCGGTTAAAAGATAAAATAATTGGATTTGGAGAGTATTTTTATAATAAAATTAAGTGATAAGTTTCATTATTTAATAAGAAATGATGGAATTGGAAAATTTCAACTTTGATTTTAAATTTCTTTCCCTTTCAAAATGGTAAAAATTATGCTATAATGAAATTTATCAATTTCCTAGATTGTAACATATTCTTTCCACAACAATAAATAAAACAAAATCTAAAAAATCGAAGCAAAGTTTTCATCACTCAAATTTCATCGATCCAGATCATCTTTTTGTTGCACAAGTTTTAAAATTTAACTTTGAAATAAGTATAATAATTCATAATGTATGCAAGTGTGAGGAAATTGTGCTTAATTAATAATCTTGAAACAAAACTAGTCATTTAACAAGATATTAGATATTAATTGCTTAAGAGTGTGCATACGTGAGACATATGGATTAATATGTTTTTATTAAATTTGTTATGGCTTTAATAAAAGTTGGGTCATGTCTTTATCTTACACGTGTAATCTCTTTTAATGTTTAGCTACTTTGTAAAATTAGTCAAATAAAAATATTTTTCTAGTCAAATAGAAAACTAATTTATTTTTTAAATATTGACACATATATTATAAACTTATAAATACATTTTTTTTAATATGCTCGTCATTAATATTATGGATCACCTCTAATAATCACTAGTCATTGCTTTCCATTGGCCATCAATGACTACCACCACAGGTATCGGCATATCGCATACCAACCACAATATATAATTTCTGCATTTTTCTCATATTTAATAATAAAATTTAAAATATAAATTTTCTATAATTTTAAATAATTTTATATTCTCATAAATTGAAAACTTTAATATCTTTGATCAATTTTTAATGTTGTAACCAAATAAAAATAATGAATTATTTTAAAACATTTATTTTGAAAAATATTTTTAAAAGTAAATTATTTTCTGAAAATAAATATGTTCTAAATATTCTGCAAATATTATAAAATCGTAGTTAATGTGAAATGAAATTTTAGCAGAAACTTAAACCGTAATGCTCCCTCTTATAGCAAAAAAATTGTTTTTTTTTTTTTTTTTCCCCCTCTCTATTACGGCCCCCCAAAAAAATTGGTTTTTTTTTCTCTTTTCTTTAACCATCGAGAGAAAATATATATAGATCTATATTTTTTCTTATTTTTAATTAATCTTATGTTTAATTAATACTTTTTAAATTTATTGTGTTATGTCGACCTTTTAAGATTATGAAATCACTAAATCAAAATTAGCGATAATCATCGAGTTATATTTCGTTTGGACACAAATCCAGAAAGGCCCTCTAACTTGGCCCCATTCTGTTTTTTTTTCCTTTTCTTTATAAGCGAGTTAGCGGCCCCATAACACCCTTCACTATCAAACAAAAACACAACAACAAGCAGCAATCTCTCCCGTTTCCCTCTTCCTCCCGCAAAAACCCTAGATCGCGCTCTCTCGCTATTTCGCGGCTCGATAACGTCGCGAGAATGGCGGCCGAGCGAAGATTCCGCTCTACCAACCATCGTCGATGAGCCTGTCGGCGATAAAAGTTCACCCTCTTGGTGCCATCCTTCAAAAAACATGCTGCGATTTGCTTATGTGAGGCGGCCTGACAGCTGACGCGCGTCGTATTGGCACGCCTTCTTCTGGGCTTCCGTCCACCTTGGATGGGTACCGTCGACCCATTCCGTAACTCTTATGCCGTCTCCTCATAATGAACTCCTCCCGATCAGTTTTCCCGATCTCCCTTCGCGCCTTTTTATTTTAACTTATTGTCTTCTGGAAATTTGCCTTATTTTTATGTCCCTTCTATTTTTTTTTTTTTTTTTAACATGAGAGAAAAATATTTATATAGATTTATATTTTTATATTTTTTTATTAATTATAGAGGTTAATTAATATTTTAAACTTTATGTTATGTGACTTAAGATTATGAATCACTAAATAAAAAATTAGATAATCATCGAGTTATATTGTTTGAACAAATCCCAGAAAGGCTCTAATTGGGCCCATGTTTCTTTATAAGCGAGTAGCGGCCCAATAACACTTACTATCAAACAAAAACAAAAACAACAGAATCTCTCCCATTCCCTCTCCTCGAAAACCCTAGAGCGCTCTCTCGCTATTTCGCGGCTCGATTGAGATCGGAGAATGGCGGCGAGCGAGCATACCGTCCTACAACCATCGTCGATGAGCCTGTCGGCGAAAGTTCACCCTTTGGTGATCTTCAACATCTGCGATTGCTATGTTAGGCGGCCTGACCAAGCTGAGCGGGTTATTGGCACGCTTCTCGGCTCCGTCCTACCTGATGGTACCGTCGACATCCGTAACTCTTATGCCGTTCCTCATAATGAATCCTCCGATCAGGTTTCCGATCTCCCTTCGCGACTTTTTATTTTAATTTTTGTGGAATTTGCGCTTATTTTATGGTCCTTATAAATTATTGAGTCGGACTACTTACAGTAAGGAACCAGTATTATTATAGCTAAAGTAGTTCTAGTTTGTCTTTTGGGGATTCTGCCTATTGCGTATGGTGTTCAATGCTAGTTTAGATTATGAGAGTAAAGGTTGAAACCACATATTTAAACGTTGCATGCTTAGCAGATAACTAGGTGAGTTCATAGTTTATTGAGCAATGCAAAAATTTGCAGTGCGTGGAAGTTTATAAAATAAGTTTTATCCACTGCTGAAAGATACTTGGTATTTTAGCACTGTGGAAATCTTGAAATTATATGATGTCTAGTTTTGAACCTTTGGATTGTGAAAAAAATAAAAACGACAGAAAAAAACAATTTTGGAACTGCTGACTAATCACTTGGGTACGGAATGAAAAAAGTTCAGCTAATATTATCACCAATGAAAAAAAGATCGAGCTAATATGAACTTGAGCTTCTCTCAACCCTTTTTTCTTTCAGTTCCCTTTCTATTTTCTTTATAGTTAAATTTTATCTTCCCGTTTGTAATTGCTGCAGGTTGCTCTGGATATTGATTATCATCATAATATGTTGTTGTCTCACCAAAAAGTAAATCCAAAAGAAGTTATTGTTGGATGGTAAATCTCATTTATTAATTTCTTTTTTGTTTTCATATATTTAAGATAAATACATTAATAAACTGCAGTAGGAGGGCCATATTTCCTGTAGACTGTTAGCGATGAAATATCTATTATGTGATATGTTTTGTTTCAACCTTTGGCCTTGATGATGTTACGATACTCTGTGAACCCATAAATATGTCCATGCATTTTCATGAAGTATTAAATTTATTGTATGGGATTTGATGTTTTTAAGAATTGGTCTGTTCTTATGCTTCAGTATCTGTGTTCAGGTATTCAACTGGGTTTGGAGTCACCGGTGGAAGTGCCTTGATCCATGAATTCTATTCTAGAGAAGTTCCCAACCCTATTCATCTTACGGTGGATACAGGATTCAGCAATGGAGAGGGCACCATTAAGGCATATGTTTCTGTTAATTTATCTCTTGGAGATCGTCAACTTGCTGCACAGTTTCAAGAAATTCCTGTTGATCTTCGCATGGTGGAAGCCGAGCGAGTTGGATGTATGTATATTTTCTGAAAATTTCTTTGTTTATAGGAAAAACTTTGCCCATCTGTTATGTTACTGTTTGATTGTTGTCTATAGATGCTTTGCAAGTGAATTAACTTTTACTGATTGTCGGTCTTCAAATTTTGAAAGCATTGATACCATAACAACATCTTTACATTGAGTTGGTAATGGCGTCTATGAAATTCAAATTTTTTGCAACTGTTTTCTCTTATACGGCTTTTACCTTGGATGCAGCTTCTTTTGTTGGTTTAAAAAAGAAAACAAAAAGATCAATAGTTAATCATTGTCCTGATTTATTTGCTTTTCACTGAGAATCAATTATCTCTCTGGATGTTACTGAACTTGCAACTGATGGAAAACTTGAAACTCAAGGAAATGAATTATGAGTTATTAGGTCAAATTATGCCCAAAAAAAGGGATATACATATGTAGAGAAAAACATTGATCAACCTAATTTTCCGAAAAGGATACCCTTCTTTATAGGCATTTCAGACTGATTTTGAAACTAGTTTCCATGACTTCAACCAACCAAACCTCAGTGAAACAAATTAAAAAACAAAATCGTTATGCTAGTAGTTCAAGGTAATCAATATGTCTAAATTAGATTTTCTTAGCTACATGTTCTTATCATTTTATTTTCATTCATGTCAGAAACTGTTTTCACATCCTTGTCACATATTCAGAGTCTTTCTCTTGATGTTGGTTATGTCCAAGCTTTTTATTTGCTGTGTATAAGATGGTATTTGGGTGTCTAATGCGGTTTGACTGGGACCTTAATAATTGTAGTTGATATCCTAAAGACTCCAATGGTTGACAAAATCCCTAGTGATTTGGAAGGAATGGAAGCCTCAATGCAGCGGCTACTAGCTCTTATAGATGATGTTCACAAATATGTTGATGATGTGGTGGTGAGTAAGATGCTGCTGTTGACACGTTTGGTTTATACCTTTCTTTTCTTTTAAATGTGGGATAATGCAAATTTTCTTCTCAGGAAGGGCGTGCAGCTCCAGATAGTAGCATAGGTCGACTTATATCAGAGACTGTAGCCTCCCTTCCAAAATTTCCACCATCAGCTTTTGATAAGCTGGTGAATGACAGTCTTCAGGTAATGATTATGTTGCTATAAAACATCCGGAAATGAAGTTTATGAACTTAATTATATAAAGATGGACTTGCACCATTTATTTATCTGCTTAGATGAAAAGGGATTTCTTCTGTGTGTAAAAATTTGTTGGTTAACTATACGATCTTTGTTGTTGGATCTTATTTAGTCGTGTTTTAACTTTGATCAACAATATCTTATTGGCTTTTTTTGTTTTTTTGACACCTTCCCCTGCTCTGCTTTCTCTATGTTCTTACAGGATCATTTACTCTTGCTATATTTGTCAAGCATCACAAGGACACAGTTAAGCTTAGCAGAAAAGTTGAACACAGCTGCTCAGATCCTCTAATTTATATCGACTGGTTGAATTCACGGTCAATTTTATTGGGGGTTTTTTTTGCCTGTTTAACGCATCATTAAGCTTGAGGAGTTGGCCATAAGTTTGTATTGATTTTGAATAGGTAGGTTGCGCACAATTTTATCTGAGGTTGCCGTTGTAATGGTTAACTCTTTCATTATCATTCACTTGGGGAAGTTAATGTTAAATCATCCATTTTTGCACATTATTGTGAGAATGCCATTTCGTTATCTATTTTAATTTCTATCTTTCCCTTCGCTGAGAAGTGTTCTCAGAAAGTTCTGTGATGGTATTTGTATGCATCGTGTTGCAAGAAATCTGTCAATTCTTGTCACCAACTTTTGATTTTAATGCATTGGGGACGGGCACTGCAAATGCAAAATTGTTAAATTTTGCTGTTATAGGCTTCTCATAGCATAGCTTTGTGACTGAAGTAGAGTTTAAAATGTTTATCAAAGACGATAGTATTTGCAGGATGATGCTATTTCTAAGATACAATTTGTTGATTTCGTTGTCACTTTCCAACCCAATTTTGTGATGACTTGTCTGCCAGCAATAACTGATAGTATACGAAATGGTTTTATTAAGACCGACTCATAAGCAATTAATATTTTGAACTATCATCTTATATTATTACTTTAAAAACAGTATATAAAGTTATGGAGGTATTAGCCGTATGAAAAATTATGTATTTACTACAGTACACAGTACATACGTAACAAAACATTCGCAGTAAAAGATTATAAAAATTAAAAAATATCTATAAACAAAATGTTATTTATATGTTAATCAACTTAACAAAAATATCTTTTAATTTGATTCTAATTTTTTAATGCTAATTTTATATTTAATTATTGTACAATAAAAAATTGTTTATTACTAAAAGGATTTATCAAAGTGTCTTAAACATGTTCAACGCACAAAAATTTATTTTTCTATTTGGTTATAATTACACGAATGAACAAGTGTCATATGCATCAAATAGTTAAGTGCCAAACACAGCATAAGAGGACTGTAACATGCACAGTAAAGCTGAGCCCCTCAATGATCTCCACTAGAGAAACAGGTCCCATAATTTGTTGCAGAGATTGCAAAGTGACTGTTTGGCAATTGGCATATCTTAATCTTCCATTCCATGATTGGAATCCTGCAATGAGTGTTTTAATCTGTTTATGTTCCTTTTCTTTTTCCATCATGTCCGGGAGCTCTGTTTTTACTCATCTTCCACTACATTTATTTATTTATATTAGTTAAAAAATGAGAAAGTGGTGTGGAAGACAAGATTTAAGAAAAGGAGATGGATAGTAAAAGTGGGTCTGTAGATAATAGGTGGCCTAGATTTCACGCGTGCCTTATATTTCTCTTGCAGCCTCCACTGAATATCATTTTTCGGTTCATGTTTGTCGGAGCTTAGGCTCTCTCTCTCTTCTCACACTCAGAAATAGAAAGTGCCTCTTCTATTATTAATTATGCATATGTTAAATGATAACAAATGAATTTTTAGTTCAATATTTCTTTTTTTTTTCTTTGGAAATGTGTACACTATATGAAGAAGTATTATTATTTAGTAAATTTTAATTATAACTAGTTGAGATTTAAACAAAAAGTCTCTTCTTCTTCTTTCTTTTTTTTTTTTTTTTAAAAATTTTTTATATATCCCATACCTTTTGTGTAGGACATTATTCTTCTTTCGGGTTTTTTTTTGTTATTATTATCCCTTCCTATGAGTGCTATTCTTATAAATCGAACCTTAACTTTATAGATATCATCTATTAAAATCACTTGTGCTATACTATTTAAGCCACTCTTCATGGATAAATATCTTTCTTTTTTTATTTGCATTGGTAATAAGTATTTGTAAATTAATTAGCTAATGTGTCAGATTTTAGATTTCTACTTTGAATTAGTTTATTATTATGATTGTACCATCATGTAGTGCTATATTTTTTTAGTATTAAAATAAAGGAATTCGAGCATAAATTTATTGTCTAATTGAGAAATTTTAATTTAAGTCGATGGTCATATTTATAGGAATTTTCTAAACTTTTATTTGGATGAGAGTTTTTTTTTTTTTTTTTTCAAAGGAAGATAAATAATTATAAAAAATATTTAGGGTATAGATATTTTCCCTTATTTGAGAATGGAAAAGAAAATATTGAAAGGAAACAATATTTTATTTATTTTTCATCCAGGTACATATATTTTATTTCTCTCCAATTTGAGACAAAACAACGAAAGAAAGTAATAATTACACTTTTATTTTTAATAAATTACATAAATACCCAAACTAATTAATAAATTTTAAAAAAAAAAATTTAAAATTCCTCAATAGTTAAGTGTTTTTCAGTTGGACGAATAAGCTTGGAACTGAATTATTAGTAGTAATTCTAATCCTAATTGATGCTGAATATATATATATATATAATTCTAATAAAAAAACAAAAAGTCTAAAATGGTATTTATTTAAATATAAATAAAGGCATAATTATTAAATTTCTATTATAATATTTTTATTCTTTCAAAAAAGGTAAAAAATAACTATAGCAAAGAAAATTAATAAGTACTTATCATTTTTTTTCAATTATTTGCTTCCGCTCGTTTGTAAACAGAGCATAATACTTTGATAATAAACAAGAAGACAAGAGAGATAAAATAAATAAAGACATGAAGCAAACATACCTAGGAGTTAGAACACCGCAGCCTGTAATGACAAAGTGCTAACAGACAAAGTTTTATACTATAAAATAAAATATCCTCGGGAATTGAAGAAACCCTAAGCTCGAACTCCACCTAAATTTTACACTAGTTAACAGAAAACGAATGAAAACAAGAAAGTGGAAACACTATACATATATTTCCAATTTAGAAAAAATATATATTTCAAGAAAAAAAGTAATTAAGTGTGCCAATTTGAACTTATTTAAGTCTAACGAGCTTCATGGAAATTTCATTTTTTTTTTTTTTTGATTTAATCATGGTTTTATAGATTGATGATTAGTACTTTAATATCCTAAGAAAGCTTTGTAGAAAAACAAAAGATAAAAGAAAAATCCATAAAATCAATAATTAAACTCATTTGGGTTAAGTCATTTATTGAAACACGAAGAGTTAGGGTGATTGATATATATTTATATATATTTTTCTTAATAACAGAGAAAGTGTTCTCGATGAGTATTTACTTTATAAACTCTCGATCTTTATTAATGAAAAAAAGTATCAAAATATTTATTCTAAAACCTGTATTATTTTGAAACATCTGTAGCTATTTTAATTTATTTATGTTTACTATTAAATGTTAACTTGATCCATATATGGGAGATGCCCTAGTGAGATTTTGCATTCCATAATATATATTTAACTTTTGAAATTTTTTCAGTTGAAAGACGAGTCCTAAACTACAAAATCTCACTTACTTTTCAAATATAAACTATAAGTGACTACCTTTTTAGTTAAGAACCCTAATTTTGAAAATTGAAGGAGAACCCATATATCTATATAAGAAGAAGACATTAGTTGGCTAAGACAGGAGCCACATGACATTAGAAAATACAAATACAAGCTGCTGCTTCCCTTTTTGCTGGTCATGAGTTGTCTCTCCCAAATCTCAATTTGGTGGCTTTGTTGTCTTCTTGTTTATGTTCCCATTGTCCTTAAAAGCACCCATAATTCAACATTATTTGACTGAGCTGTTTCTATAGTCAACTAACTCAGTATCTTTGTCAGTACTTTAGATCACAACCATCCAATCCAAATCAGACAATTTCAACTTTGACTTTTCACTTGCATCAATCTTCTTTACCACCATCCAAGCAATTTGAACTATTCTTGTGTTCTTTTGTATGTATCTTCTATAGTTTAAAAAACAAAACTTGGATTATTCACTGTGTCTTAATTGTGTTGGACTTATTATAGGTAATTAAGATGTTTGTCTACTTAATTAATTAGCATGATCGCAAAGGTTATATCATTAATTGCACCATTTAAAATTATATATTTTTTAAATTTGCTTAAAATTAATTAATTACTATGATCTAAATCTAATCTAATCTTGAAAGCAAAGTTTGGATTACTCACATGTCCTCTTGAGGTTGGAACTATTTGATTATTTATTTAATATTATAGCAATTGATGAGAAAAGTAGAGCTACAAAGCATTTTGTTAGGGAAGGTTATTTATTAAAAAAATTGTTTTTAGAATGATTACAATATATTTTTAGATTTATGATTATAAAGATTAAAAAAAAAAAAACAATTAAACAACATTTCAAATTTAATTTCTTCAACAATATTTAAAAGATTTTTGAAACAATAATAAATAGACTCTTATTAGTTTTTGGACTACAGTTTGATCATGTCTTAATTATTCTTAACTAAATTTTATCTCAATTAATATATAATTTTCATAATTTGCACTCTTTTTAGTTTAGAGTTCATTTTCAAATTCTATCAATTTTTCTCTAATTTGATCCAAATATAATCAATTCCTTAAAATTAAAAATGAATGTCCCTTTGTATCAAATATAAAATTTTAAATTGTTAAGTAAATTCCACAAAATTTTATGAATTGGTATGCACCAAACAATCTCTTTTAACCCACTAAAATACTAATTCAATTGCTACCCTAATTCTATAATACTACATGTAACAACATAAGACCATATGGGAAACCATGCATATAATAGGAATTATAGTAAGTGCACACTTTACAGAAAAACACAAACAAACCCTATATCTAATTATCTATATGCATACCTATGCATATAATCCAACTCCAAGAAATAAAAATTTAAAAGCCAAGATTGGAGTAATTATATTAATCTAAGTAGTGAAACTAAATTACTTATTGTCTGCTCGCCGACCCATACGTTGAACGAACAATGGCAGCTTTTGTGTTTGTCTTTCACTCTCAGTGCACAAAAATCCGGGCACGATCAAATGCTAACAATTAATTAATATTCAATCTCTTCATAATCCCTAAAATCAAAGCAGATTATAATAAACTTAATTCTATAATAATCCTTTGATCACCAATTTAATATAACAAAAGATAAGTGCAAAAAGAATATAAAAATTTCTTGTTTTCTTTTTTTTCTTTTCCTTAAATTAAACATATGTATTTGTATTGTATTATATATGCACACGAGGTCTTATCTTTTGAGTTCAGAAAGCTCAGAAAGAAAGTTTAGAGACTTCTAAAAAGCAAAGACAAAAAAGATTCAGTGAGCAAGTAAGAAGATAACAACATGGAAGATAGAATGTCAATGTCAGGCTTTTGTTTTACAAACAAAGTCCGCGGTGGGGGCGGTCGCGGCGGTGGTGGCAGTGGTAATAATTGTAGCACTGGAACTAAGTGCGGGCGTTGGAATCCAACTTCTGAACAAGTTAAAGTTTTGACTGACTTGTTCAGGTCTGGACTCCGAACCCCAAGCACTGATCAGATTCAGAAGATTTCTTCTCAGCTTAGTTTTTATGGCAAGATTGAAAGCAAGAATGTATTTTATTGGTTTCAAAACCATAAAGCTAGAGAAAGGCAGAAACGTCGAAGAGTTTCTGTTGATGAAAATAAAGATACTATTCGTCGCGAAGATAATCCTTCTTCTTCTGCAAGATGTAAGGACCTAGGCTTGAACCTTTTTTTTTCTCTCCTGATGCACTGAATAGCCCTTTTCTTTAACTATTTAGGTTACAACTAGAGTTTTGTAGTTTGAACTTTACAGTTCTGGAAATGATTAATTTTCTTATTTTTATCTTTATTTGCAGATTTTACAGAAATAAGTCAAGTTACTGAGCCGGAACGAGTTCTTGAAACTCTTCAACTATTCCCATTAAACTCCTTTAGTGAAGGGCAACCAGAGAAGCTTAGATTTCAAGGAAATGATCAATATAAGGAACCAACTTCTTTTTCCTACACATTTGGTACAGAAATGGATCATCCACCTTTGGATCTTCGATTAAGTTTCCTGTAATGTTTAGGGTTTATTAGCAAGAAGGGTAAAATGTTCAAAAATGTTGGTTAATTAAAAATCTTAGATGTATTTTTTTTTCTTATTAAATTTTAGAAATGCTTCAACATTCTCCTCTGCATGCTCATAAAGACATTGTTTTATCTCTCTGTGTTTACTCTGTTGGATTTTTGCTTTCCTATGAGTGCTTGGAAATTGGAATTCACTTTCTCTCATGAGAAATGTCTTCTTGAAATGCATAAATTATAAAAATAAAAGCATATTATTAATAGTTTGATTTGCCTAGGGTCTGCTTCCATCTTTGAAATCCATGTACAGATCCACTTCAGAGTCCTTTAACAAGTCAAGAAAGGAAATGATACCGTTTGAATATATGGTATTATTTAAAGGAAGAAACGAGTTGATTTATGAATATATAATACTCCTCTCATTTTTTACATTTCTTTCTTCTTGGTTTATCATTTCTTAATTAATATAGGATTAAACTAGATTTGATGCCAAGAGATTATATATGGTCTGCTTCCATCTTTGAAAAATCCATGTACAGATCCACTTCAGAGTCCTTTAACAAGTCAAGAAAGGGAAATATAACCGTTTGAATATATGGTAATTATTTAAAGATAGAAACGAGTATGATTTATGAAATATATACTCCTCTCATTTCTTTACATTATCTTTCTTCTTGGTTTATCATTTCTAAAATTAATATAGGATTAAACTAGATTTGATGCCAAGAGATTATATATAATATATATATATATATATATATATATATAATATATATATATATTATATTAATCAAAAAATGTTTTTTTAAAACATTCTTCACCATTAATTGAGTATTTACAAAAGAGATATATATAATCAAAAAAATGTTTTTTTTAAAACATTCTTCACCCATTAATTGAGTATTTACAAAAGAGAATGAACATAGGAACTGAGTGAATATTTATGATAAACCATGTTTTGAAAGTTTAATTATAAAACTTTTGAAAGTGTAATCATAAAGTGAAAATGGGAAGACAAAAAAAAAAAAAAATACAAATTAAAAAAATCATAAGATTTTGTTTTTTTTAAAAAAGACAATCATAAATTTATTGTGAGTAATATAAATGATTTATTTTAAAGAATCAAGTTAAGTAGAACCCACTTAATTATTGGCACAAACATGATTTATTTTAAAGAATCAATATGCATGTTACTATGTTAAGATAGAAAAACACAATAACTAGAGATAGAAGATGTTAATTTTGTCTAGAAGACTTAAAACTGAAAAGGCTAGAACTTTCCGTCTCACTCTACCTTAAACCTTAAAAAAAATGTGAATCCAACAAATAATGGAGGCATGCCTAACAGATCTAAAAATCCTTCTGTAATCAAGAACCTTGTCTTTTCCTTCATAAACATGTTAGGTTATCTATCTTCTTCATTTTTAGTAGGACCATTGAATTAAAAACATATACGGTGCTGGAAGGTAAAAAACTTTTATGCTCTATTACTCTTGTTTAGCACTAAAACTAATTAGAAGGACAGAAAGTTCAACAATGGTGGCTGAAAAGTTGAATTGCAGCATTTATTAATATTATCATTTGGGCAAAAGAAAAGGAAAGTCATAGAAACATTCGAAAAGGGGTTAATATAGTTTTTTTTTGCTAAATGTACAACTCTTTGAAGCCCAAAATATATTGTTATTGATGCTCCTTTTTGTTGTAATTTCTTTCTCAATTTTTGTTTGTTTAGATGCTGATATACCTAACCCATTCTTGTCATGAGAAAGCTACAAAAGATCGCTTGCTCTTGTTCCAAAAGATTTAGAAATGCACCTTCTCTGACAAGGGAAACTTTTCCTGTCATCTTCACAAAACTTGTCGGTGAAATGTTGAGAAAGTTTTCCTTTTCTAATTTATTGGAATTGTGTCCTATTTTTAACTTTTTGACAAAGGGAGATTAGGAAAAAAAATTAATTAATAAATAAATAAAATAATTTCTCTCAACTATAAAATTTTTTTTATTAATTTGGTGAGAAAGGAAGGATTACTCATATTGACCTGTAATTTTATTCCGTCCATTTGGTTTTTACAAAATAAAAATATAAATAAGAAACAATTACCGAAAATTCAAGAAATTAAGCTCAAACTTGATACAACATATAGGCCCAATTGCTTTGGACAAATTCCGAATTTGAACTGGGCAGGATAAACAAAAGGCCCAGCTCATGAAATCTTCGACCCAAACAATCATAAACGAAAAACTACTGAATCATTGAAGAGAAGCAAAGGAAAAGCAAAAGACAAAAGTTAAAAAAGAAGACAAAGAAACAAGATTTCCTGAGGAAGAAGCAACCGAATTTAAAATCAAACGAACTTGAAGCGAAAAGAGAGAGGTACAGAATTTGGCAATTGTGAAGTTGAATCAGAGATCGAGAAATCGGAATGGATGTGATAAAGACGCAGCAAATATCGGCTAGACCGATAGAGAAGGTGATAGTACACCCACTTGTTCTCTTAAGCATCGTTGACAACTACAACAGAGTCGCCAAGGACACTCGCAAACGTGTTGTTGGTGTCTTGCTTGGTTCTTCTTTCAAAGGCACCGTTGACGTTACCAATAGCTATGCAGGTCCTATTCTTGCCTGGCTCTGTTTAATTTCTAGATCTCTTTTGCTGTTGACCTATCAATTTATGTTTTTCTTTCTCGTGTTTGAACTTTTTTTTTAGTGGGATATAATTTTGCATTGAGTTACAGATCAGCATATGTGAAAAGCGGAATTGGGTATATTTGTATTATACTGTGTATTGCAGATAGTTTATATGAATTAATTATTTTAGTAGAACTAAGTTTCCTGGTAAGAATGTTGAGACTCGAGAACCAAGAGAGTGTTTCAATGAGTTTTGGAGATGGTGAATTTTTGCATTGGGACTCTTAAGTTATGTTACTTTATTCAATATATTTATCCATGTATATAGGAAGTCTGACATACGTAGAATTTGAACTGCAGATAAGCGTAATATTAGATAGTTTGTAATCGCATAGTTGTATACTGGATGGTAAGTACTCATTTCATTTTTCCATTCAACATATTTCAGAGTTCTACCTGTGAAAGGAATTGATATGCATTGAAAATGAAGAATTTTTTGAGGAGGATGTAGTGGGGCGGATGTATGAAATCATTTGAAGTTGTCTTGGCTAGTAAACTCAAAAGATAAAGATGCCACATTTAGTATGAAAATTATAGTAAATCTAGCTTTGGGAATTTTGGCATATTGTGGATTGCTATTGCCATTGTTGTAATCCATCAGATGTTAATGTGCACAATGCCTATTGATATTGCCATATCGGACATGTTTCGTGCTATTCAAACTAGGATGTGCTTTGTGTCATACCCATAGATTTTGGTGTCGAAACGTATTTTTCCAGGTGTTCATATATTTTTGCAATTGGTGTTGAAATTAATGCTGCATAAGAAGTGGTTCCATGTTAACTACCTTTGAATGATCATTAGGCCATCGCTACAACCATTTTCTTGTTTTGGTTATTTTATCTTCATATTCTCATGTTTGTAGACCAAGTGCTTTGTTTGGAATCTCAACAAAAATTGAATTTTAACTTTTCAGTGCCATTTGAAGAAGATGACAAGGACCCAAGCATCTGGTTTCTTGACCACAATTATCATGAGTCAATGTTTTCAATGTTCAAAAGGATAAATGGTATCGTCTGGTATAATTTTGCCTATGTTGCATTTCTTTTTTTGGAGATTCTGACCAATAGACTACCAAATTACCTTTTCAGCCAAGGAGCATGTTGTGGGTTGGTACAGCACAGGTCCAAAACTGAGGGAAAATGACCTGGATATTCATGGATTATTTACCGAGTAAGATTATCACATTATTCATTCCTCCTGTTATTCTTTAAGTTCTTTGTTATTTTGCTGATGGTAATAGACTGTCTAACTTGGAATATCTATTCTCTTGGAAAAATAAATTTCATCTTTGTTTAATATTTTCCCCCTCAGATTTGCATTAATATTTGTTTTTCTTCTTTTTGTTCTGCTATTGCAGTTATGTGCCAAATCCTGTCTTGGTCATAATTGATGTCGAACCAGTAGAGCTGGGAATACCCACAAAAGCTTACTGTGCTGTTGAAGAGGTAAAAGAGGTAAGGACATCTGTTCTCAAATTAAGTACAAATGTTTCCTTTATATGTAGAACATGAGGCAGTTAAGGGTATTTTGTAGCTAGTCTTTCCTTGTAACACTGCCTCCATGTAGCTTGGAGATTAGCTGATGGCATGTATTCATGGATGTCAACTGATAGTTGTGTATGATTACAGAACGCCACGCAGAAAAGCCAGAAGGTGTTTGTGCATGTGCCTTCAGAAATTGCTGCTCATGAGGTTGAGGAAATTGGTATGCTGCTTGAAATCCCACATTTGCTTATTTATTGAATAGAGTTATTCAAAATAGCCTTCAATTGCATGCATTTTTTTTTTTTTTTTTTTTTGTTTAGCTATGTTATTATACATTCGTGGCAATGTGTCAAACTGATTTGAGTTTTTCGCGTGTGTTATGATCTTACAAGTAAGCGGACAAGCGGACTCTCATGTATATAGAAAACCAGATAAGTAGTAGTTAATTTTGTAGTCAAATGTGCCTATTACATGATTAGAGTTGGCTGGCTCATGAGGTTGAGGAAATTTGGTATGCTTGCTTGAAATCCCACGATGTTAGCTTATTTATTGTGGGTGAGAGGTTAGTTCTATAGACTTATATAAGCCCTTCAACTTCGCTACATTAGCCATCTGTTATTTTTTTCTTTTGATTGTGCGGGAGGGGGAAAACACGCAATGAATGACTAATGGTGCTCAAATTCTAATCCACTCCACTTTCATCTCTAGACAGGGGTGATGTGTAGAACACTTGGTAAGGAAGGATCCGCCTGAAGGGACCTAGCCCCACACAATTAGCATCTCTCATATGAACATTGATAGAATATATCTCTTGTGACATTTGAGAGATCATTTCGTACTCTCGCGGTGGTGTGTATCTCCTGTCATATTTCCTCATTTTTGTTACACGGCTGTTATCTGTATGTGTGTCTCTCAAAAGTGTATTCTGTGAGTTCTATTCTAATTTTCAGTGTGAAAGGAAACCTGGAATTTTTTAATTTGTCTCCTTATGGGCAGTGTGACTGGAAACTACTGCTGTTGAAAAGGTTGTGTTTCCAACTCGTGAGGGACGGAGACTTTCGAGAAATACAGTTGTTACCTATATGCTTGGTTTATTTGACTAGTGTAATAAGCTGGCGCTAACCACGGAGGAATCTTTTGTCAGCCATTTTTGACTAGGTGGTGATGTTTAAGTAGTTATTTATGTGCGCACACCATTGTCATTGTGGTCTTTTGAGGTTGAAATAGCTCCCATATTTTTAGATAGATGTTGGAAATCCAGGAGATATATCTCTTCGTTCGAAGAGATAAAAAAATAAGGAGAGAAGCAAAATTCAGGTATGTGCATAGTATGATTCAAGATGGTATTTAATAATAGTAACATGGATCGTAGTCTCATTGAAATAAATTGTGGTTTGGATTGTAAATATGGAATTTAGGATTAGTAAGTTATCTCGGTAAATGCGGCTTTTATTATTGATGCTCGTTCATAGTAGGTCATTTAAGGATGGAGAGTTCCGAATTTGCAGGGTTTATGGGTTGAGAGATCTCTCGGTGATAAAGTTGTGCTGGAAGTTTGATACGATTAAAACTCCTATCTAAGGCGATGATGAGTATACTGGTGGCCCTGGAATTTTGTATTCCTTATACAATATTGTGCTGCTTTGTGCGTGCGATGCTGCGCCAAAGACTTTCTTTTTTTGTTGTGTTTTGCACTCCAGACTTATGAGAAGCAGCCTCTTACCCACAGCCTAGGAATTAGTGAAGAGAATATAGAATGCCCTGGAGGTTGCACCGCTCTATAACGGGGATTCTTTTGCAGTGGGAAGACCAGCACACTACCATCGACTGTAACGATCCTCATATCCGGCCCAAAGTAAAGAGCTTCAACAAAAGAGGGGGTGAGGATTTATAGGCCTGTTTTGCCAAATGATACAGAGAAAATTTTTTTTTTTTTTTTTTTTTTGTTGGGGGAGGGGGGATACACATAATAATGTCTCTTCTATCCACTTTAACAGGTGTAGAACACTTGCTAAGGGATGTGAAGGACACCACTATTAGCACCCTTGCAACTGAGGTCTTCCTTCTGCATGTTCTCAGTTTTATCTCCTCATTTCTCATTTTTAAGCTATTTCTGTGCAAAGGTTTCTGAGTTCTATTTCTATCAGTGTGTAAGGAAACTGAATTTTTAATTTGTCTATGCAGGTGACTGGGAAACTAACTGCTTTGAAAGGTTTGGACGCTCGACTTCGAGAAATACGTGGTTACCTTGACCTTGTTATTGATGGAAAGCTCCCACTAAACCACGAGATTTTGTACCATTTACAGGTTTTGTTATTTTGTGCCCCTTCTTGTGTCTTGATGTCACATATGTATTTTGCATGGAGTTATCAGTTTAATCTCTACAAGATGAAAAAAAATAAGGGAAAGAAGCAAAATTCAAGTAATTCATTTTAATATTAGTAAAGAATCTAACTCATTGAAATAAATTGTTTTTATTGTTTCATTGGATTTGGTATAGTTTTTCTGAATGCAGGCTTTTATTGTACTCCTTCAAATAGGGTCTTAAGATGAGAGTGTTGCTATGTTGAGGACTCTCTATATGCTCTTGGAAGTTGATTTACATAAACTCTTAGGAGTTATCTCTGGCCTTGAATTTTTCTATACATATGTTCTGCTTGCATCTACCTAGATTTGAATTTAGAATTGCTGGAGGCCTTAACAGCTTTTCAGTGGAACGACCATTTTTCAGCAAGAAGTAAAAGGCCATTCATGCCTCAATTTTCTTATGTTTGATTCTTTTTAACTTGCTAATCTTAGTGAAGTAAATGACCAATGTGTTTTAGAGAAAATTGTTTTTCAATTGAAGTACCATCTTCCAGTCCTTTACAAAAGATCAAAGAAAATTCTTCATGAGTCAGGGCCCATTTTCAATACCAACATCTACCCTTCATTTTTGTCACCTTCATGCTATCTTACTTTGATGCCTTCATTAATAATGACAAAATTATTATCTTGCTTTAATTCTGTTGTCTGCATTTTGTAGGATGTGTTCAATCTACTTCCAAACCTCAATGTTGCTGATCTAATCAAGTCATTTGCAGGTATTTTGGGGAATGAGGCAGGGGACTCTTCCCTTATTATTATTATTTTTTTTTCTTCTGATTTGGTCTTTTATATATTTCCAACCTGTGCAGTGAAAACCAATGATATGATGTTGGTTATCTATCTTTCCTCCCTCATCCGAAGTGTAATTGCTCTTCACAACTTGATCAACAACAAGGTGAGGATGCTATTATTAATTTTCAGAAAAAAGTTGCTTGTTCAAGTTTTATTGAGCTTTTAAAGCATCTACCTCACGGTCCAATGAGCTGATTATGGTCCAAAATGTTGCTTTCAAAAGTTTCTGTATTCCTCATTTCTTGGAAGTAGCCTGACTTCTCATTGGGGCATGATGTCATAATTGTTTTGTTCCATAAAACACATTGGTGGAGAGGGTAATTGCTTAAATGATATTATCCAAAGTGCTAGCACATCCTATTTTTTATTCTGGAGGAATTCATAATCGACCAGCAACCACATCTTGATTTTTTTTTTCCCTTCATAAATTTGATTATCTTTGACAGTACTGCTTCATGCCTATGGCTGCTGCTGCTGCTTATCTCTGCCCCTCTTCTGTCTCTCTAGTCTCATTGATATACTTCATATTTTTCTTTTGCCAACAACACTCTGTAAATTGTAGTTCAGACATGAATGCCTCGTCTAAAAGCATCTGTTCTTCACTTTGGAAAGGCTTCTCTGTAGGCCAAGAAGACCATAACCTGTTACTGTTGTCATATTAGATGTTATTCTTGCAAACTGAATATGCTCCTTTATTTTTCCTTTCAAATTGAATTTATTCTGTCTGATTGGTTATGCATTTTCATTCTTCTCATGCACTCTGTATTATGTTTGGATCTGATTTCAGATACTCAACAAAGAACACGAAAAAGCAGAAGACTCAAAGTCAGTTGCCGTTCCTGCTGCTGCTGGTAGCTAGACATAGGGATTTGACCTGTCTGAATTTCCCGCATGATAGCTCCCCTCTTGAAGTTAATTTCTGACTTTGGCGGTTGTCTTTCTCACAAGAGTTTCCCAGCTTTGGAAATCCTTATGTTTCTCTTAGAGGAGGGAGGGGTTTGGGGAGGTGGATGGAGTTTGGAAAACATTCCTCCAAATTTGTGTTTCTTGTGATTGATTACGATAGTTGCCCTTAAGAATATTTGGAAGGAAGCTAAAAGTTCGTTCTTTAGCATAAGAATCTCTCCTAATGATATTTCCCTTTCGAGAAGGGCTGGCATTATGCCATTCAAATCGAATTTTCAATGAATTAGCGTGAATGTTTCATCAGTATTTACAATCTTACAAGTCAAGATATTATCCATTTGCAAACTTTTGAAGGTTTGTTGTTTTGCAAAGTATCTAGCATTCTAAACAGAGCAAAAGTGCAGAACAACCCGAAAAAGTGAATGCATTACACTTGCAATTTCTTTCATACAATTTTCAAACACAATAATTGAATGCTATGCGTGAGCAGAGCAGCTAAATCCCCATGCTTCAGTCTTGCATAAGAGTATAATGCTCGAATCAATCTTCTTCAGCATAATCAGGCTGAACTGACTGTTCAAACTCGGCATCCATAATTACCCCATCCATGATATGAACAATTATCTCCCTTCTCCTAATATCTACTCTTTCTGATCGAATTCTATTTACTATTAACATTCCATCTACATCCTTCGTAATGTATAGCGTAAACCCAGATATTGAATCATATGAGACGTCCTTATTGGAGGATACCATAGCTGCAGAAAGAGTTCGAGGAATAGCTGAAAAACCCAAAATCCTAGAAACTATAGCATAAGTATCATTTCTCTTATCAGCTACCAGACTATCATTCACCCGCAGCTTCAGATCACGCTCAAAAGCTCTCTCCGAAGGTATAAAGACAGTAAATGCAAGATCTTCAGGCAACATTTCTATCATCATCTCACCAAACCTCCCTATCCCTTCATCCTTTGAAACCTTCCTGCTTTTAATGGTCCTGTAAGATCCCATTAGTTTGTTTCCTACCGAAATCTCAGGAAGTCGAAGAACTGAAATCATAATAACAATAAGGCAACAAACAGAGACCACCATACCTACAAAAGCAATTGAGTAATTCAAAAGGTAGCCCCTCCTCATTTTCTTGAACAATTACATTGCTCGCGATTAATCCATTATTTCAAGTTTTAGAATCTTCCCAGACTAGCTATATACCCATTATTATCCATTCATTACAAACAAAACCACCATACCAAAACATAAAGAAAGTTGCCTTTCAAACTTTATGAAGCCTTCAATAACGCAACCCAAAGAGAAAACCAGTACCCAATAATTGTTGCAAGAACTCAGAATTTAAGCCTCCATGTGTAGTTAAATAAAAGTTCACTCCTTTTCTCACAGGTAACAAGAACATAAAAATATCACCAAAAGCTCTCCGAGTCTCCAAATTGCAGAAAATAATGACAACAAACACTAATGATAATCGCAGAAAAAAAACAGAGTCCAACTTAAGCAGTAATCTTCCAATCTCACCACTAACATCATTTATAAACCCACATTTCTTCAATCTCAACAAAGAGCCGAAAAAAAAAAAAATCTTTTGACGAAATTAGTTACAGATTCCCAATTTGTGAAACTAACAAGATCATCAGAATAAACGTTTTCAAGAATTCTGAAGAACGCCCTTTTGACTGGGATAAGGTTAGTGTACCTGCAAAACGACAATAGGGAGCTTGTAAAGGGCGGAACCGTCGGATTCAATTTCCAAGACGAGTCTGGCTCTTGCTTCTGATTCAAATTTGCACAAATTTCGAAAGTTTCATCTTTTAGCGGAGAACTGCATTATGAGATTTTTACGATTATTGAAGAATTAGGGTTAGGGTTTCAATTTCAATGAACCAGATCTAGAATGATGCACATGGCAGTATAATGTTGGACTTGCTCATAACATAAACATTTGGGCCTATCCCCAAGAGGCACTTCCATGTCTAGATGTCAAATCTGCCACTAACTGGGGGCTGCTCCAATTAGATTAAGCCCAAGTGCCATCCAATCCAAGTTTTCTTTTTTTCATGTGTTTTTCAGAAAGAGACCAACACTGAAATCACATTTGTATTTTAGCCCATTAGAGATAGTATAATTCATTACAAAACCTATTTGGACAAGACAACTGACAACGATAGGAATAGGAATGAATTGAATGTTACGATATCAGGGAATTCAACCTGAAATATCTTAGTACCAAGACATCACCTGGAATTCAACCTGAAATATCTTAGTACCAAGGCATCACCCTAATCACTAGGTTAGGGATCACTTGCTGTAAGTCATGTATTTTGATAAAGAATGATACAGTGTACGAAATATTTTATTTTTGACAACTCTATAAAGAGTTGATATAAGTCTTCTTTTCCTTGCTTTTTATTTGAAAAGCTATTTTCTTGGCCCGAATATATTATCTCGAATTTATATACAACAAAGTAGCCTTCAAGTGATATTATTTTCATAAATTTAAAAAAAAATTTATCATTTCTTTTTTTTCTTAAAATAATTGAAGAAAGAGATTCTCAAGAGTGAATTTTGAACCCGAAATAATATTCTCTATTAAATAATTTCATAATTAGATTAAGACAATAATCTACTATTTTTATTCTCATTTTTAAGTATATCGTGGTTCTAAGTTCAATATTCTAACTTTTCAAAAACAACATAACCTCAAATATAAAATGATAATAAGTGTAGATTCTTTCGTTTACAGTTAAAACGCAACAACCATATGTTGTGAAATGGTTCCTGCCACCTTGTGGAGAATTTAAATGTAATTTTGACGTATCTCTTGCTAATAATCAATTTGATCTTGATATGATTTTTCGAGATCACAAGGGTTTTTTTTAAGGGGAAAATCAATGTCTATCGTAGCAATTCAAGATGTGAAGTTGGGGGTTTTTTTGCTTTAGGGAAACTCTTAGTTGGTTGAAGGGACTTTTACAATGTTTGCATTCAAACATATTGTCTACTTCTAATCCAAGCTATGAAGGTAGATAATCTGGATTTTTCTTGTTTTGATTCGATTGTTATGGAGTGTAAAGCTGTTTTGAGTGAGCTTTCATCCTTTTTCTATTGTTTCGTAAAAAAATCTGCGAATCAAACTGCTCATATGATAATTAGGGCAGCTGGTTCCCATACTGAATTGGAATTGGAGGTTTGCCCTTCTTTATTTTTTAGGATGTTTTGGCTTTTGATTCGAATAATATAAGCTAGCTAGCTCATTTCTTACAAAAAAAAAAAAAAAAAAAAAATGTAGGGCAGCATGGTTCCCGGATACCTGATTGGAATTGGAGGTTTTGCCCTTCTTTATTTTTAGGATGTTTTGCTTTTGATTCGAATAATATAGCTAAGCTAGCTATTTCTTAATATAAAAAAAAAAGTATAAATAAGTTTGATTTCTAGAACTTATACTAAAAAAAAAAAAAAAAAAAAGATAAATAATTTGATTTCATAAGACTTATATCTCCTTCATATATGTTTTATTTATTAGTCGAGATTTCATAATTTAAAATAATTTTCATAGAATATCATCAAATAGTAATCTAAATTATTAGGTAGGACATTATTTTTCTTTAAAAAAGAGAGAATTTCCATTAGGGCCATTTTCTAATCCAAATGATAAGACATCAATTAGGAACGTACTAATCCAAATGAGCTTACTTATAGTGGATAAGTTTGAGCTATCTCTCTCTCTCTATATATATATATATATGTATAAATGACAATGAATTTGTCTCCATACTCAAATAATATTTTACAAAGGGAGACTTTGTACATATGTGTGTCCACAATCTAATATTATTACATTACTTTAGTCACTTTCACAAGTGGAAATAATTAGTTGGTCCATGCCAAAATTGAGTTTGTTGGGTTCAATTTTATTACTAATATCTTATGCAAGTGGGTTCAATTAATATAAATTCATTGCCCATAGGCATTATTTGATTTAAATACGTGGGTGAGCCTGCCATAGAAAGGCTAACGATAAGACGGTATTATGTATATATGGTCAATGGTCTTCTTGATTGTGATTGCAATTTTAATTGATGTTTATGCTTTTAAATTGTTAATTTGGTATTCAAAAAGCATCAACTCCTCTTTATTTATATATATATATATATAATGCGAATAAAATGTGGTCTGATTGGCCTTTCAACCTTTTGTAAAAGCTGCAATGAGTGAAAAGTTTTGAATTCTCTTCGCTATAAAAATTACTATTAATTTGATGATTGTTATTCAAAGGGAAAGGCTATTTTATGTTGTTTAGCCTACCACAATATTATCTCAGTCCATTAGACCTTTCATATATGATAAAAAACAACCCTTTAATCACTCTTTTTTTTTTTTTTTTTTTAAAAAGTACCTCTTCATAATAATGTATGAAAAAGCACCCTTTATATCAACTCCTTTTTTTGTTTGGTTTTTTTTTTAAAAGTATTATAATTGTCCTTCATTTTCATAATTCTATCCATACATAAGAATATACTAGTTTAACAATGTTGTCTTTTAATTATCTTTATTGACTTGAAATTGTGAATACTTGTAATTCCTAATTAAATAAGAAAAAATTAAATTATTTTTTTTTATATGCTCTAAAAGGTTTAATTGTGAGAGATGATTTTTAATTTTATACGCCAGTAATTGAAATTATTAAATTGGGAGTACCTTTTTTTTTTTTTTTTTTTAAAAGTATTAATTTCCTTCATTTTCATATTCTATTCCATACATAAAATATACTAGTTTACATGTTGGCTGTTTAATTATCTTTTTATTGACTTGAATTTGAATATTGAACCAATTAAAAATAAAAAAAATATTTTTTTTTATATCTCTAAAAGGTTTAATTGTGAGAGTGATTTTTATTTAACCCAGTATTGAATAATTAAATTGAGTTATGATATTTTAAAAAATTCACATATTGCAATACAAAAAAAATCTTTTAGTAATTAAGTATTGAAATAGTCAACATTGAGGGATAAAAAATTAAAAATGAAATGAATCAACATTTTAAATGTTTATTAGTCAAAATGTGACACTCGTGCAACCAATAAAATGAATAGCGACTTTGTCACTTGTCATAGCCGGTGGACGGAACAAAGAATTGGTACAAACCGTATCCAAAATGATAATAGGCAGTGTTTGGTTTACAATATTTGTCAATTTGCTACTCTAACTCAAAAATTCAAGATTTTTATTGAAATTTGTTTTTGATTTTATGTTGTTACAATAGCTTCTTGACAAATTATCACCCATCCATTTGACCAAATTAATTGTTACAATAGCTTGTTGACTATTTTAATAATTATCAGCTATCTTACTAATATGTCACAATAAATAGTAAGTATAGTCAAATACTAAATATTATATAAAAAGCTATGGTCTGTTGATAGGCCTTTAGATGTATGTAATTTCAGACTCCATCTAATATATTTTCTACTCAAACTTCTTTTTGAGTATTAAGGAAGAAATTTGAATTTTTTAAGTATTAAGGAAGAAATTTGAATTTGAATCTATTACTAGGTTGATTTATATTATTATTTTAGTATATTTAAATTTAGAGAGAAAAACAATTGTTTGCAAGGTTTATTGAATTTTAAAAATACGATTTGAATTTTTTTTAAATAGAAAATAAATATTTGATGATTAGTATTATTGTTAGAGAAATGTGTTGTAAAATACCAACTCGTCAAATCTTAGCAGAAAAATAAAATTTACTAGAAAAATATGTCACAAAATTACAAACAATAAAACATCCCTTCACAGTTCGAACCCGCAAAAAGGAAAATCATCAACAACAAAAATAAACATCATCAATTCATCACCACCGTTCAATACTAAGCTAATCCACTTCACTTAGATACATATTGCAAAAACTCAAAATCAGATTCAATCCCAGCCATTGTTTCAGGGGACAAAACGACCTCCAGATCTACACTGCCACCACCTTCCCGCCCAGGAAAGGCTGAGATCTTCCCATCAAACTTGTTGGCCCTACCACTCCTAATGGCCAAAGGACGGCCCCACCCAAAATCATTATCATACATTGGAAATCTAGCTGAGCTACCCATCGTCAATGATGCACCGTCAAAGTTCCCCAACGGGAAACACCGTGGATTCTCCTCCCAAGTCTCTATGAAACGACGCACCGTTCCGTCGTTATGTGCCTGCACGTTCTTATTTAATTGCTCCGCGCACCATCGCAGATCGCGAGACAGTACGTCACCGGCTGATGCGTAAGTGGGTGAGCTTTGGATAGCGTTCCCGAAATATAGAGGATCCAGTTTTGGATTCAATCGATGGCGGCAATTCACCGCCATTCTAAATGTCGTCGTTTTGTTAGGATTCAACTTCCTCGCCCTCGTCACCGCACGCCACAGCAACGCGCATAAAGATTGGAATGAAGAAATCTCCACCGCCGCAACCGCAGAACCGTTGCTCTCCGTTTCTTGCGGTTTCGAAACGGCGTTCTTGTAAAAACTTTCAAGAATTTTAGTCATCATCTTCCCATTAATTTGATGATGAAACGGATCGTTGCTTTGTTTACCCATTAATTCAACAGCATCAATGCCCGAATTATCAATCCATTTCTTGTTATTAGCTCTTGCTTTAAGCTTCAAAAGTGCTTCTCTGCTGAAGCTAAAGATTCTTTCCCTTAACGGCGCATTTTCATCAAACGTTACTTTAGGGCCACCTTCAGGTACTTGAAGGACCGCCGGCGATACCAAAACCGAATTTCTTGAAAAATCGGGCTGGCGCGAGATTTTCTTTATTCCTCTTGAAAATTCGGCAAAAGTATTAAAGAAATTCCAAAACGAAGTTCCATCAGTAACTGAATGGTTCAAAGCACAGCCAATGAAAACTCCATCAGCTAACTCGGTCACCTGAACTGCCAAGAATGGCTTATAGTGCCCATCGTAACTGACAGTCCGATCAAAAGCGAAAAAAGTCTTGACACAATCCGGCACGTAGTTTGGAGACAGAATATCATAAACAGAGATATGAGTTGCGGTAGCATGAAGGAAATCAACCCCGGCGTCATTGCAGGTTATGTAAACGTAACCGTTGGAGTCAGTTCTGAAGCGACCGGCAAGAGGAGGAAATTGAGTAAGAGTTCTGGATAAAGAACATTTGAGCGAAGAAATCAGGGATTCGATAGAAATAGGAGGGCGAGTGAAAAGACCACCCTTTTGAATATAGTGGCAAGAAAGCATAGGAAGATCAGAAACTGAAAGCTTAAGGTCTCCCATGGTGGATTTCTGGTCAGGAAAGACAGTACATTTGGAGACCAGAGTTAAAGATGGAGCTAAAGGCATTTTGTTTGTATTATATATGCTTCTGTTTCTGTTTCTCTACCTCTCCCGCTTTGGCTTAATGAATTTTGCGAGTGAGGAGTGAGGATGGAAGGGAAGCTGAAATGGGTATATATAGGAGAGGGTGTGAGCTTGGGTTCATGCACTTGGCGGGGGGATGGGAATTTCATTTTGGCTATTGTCATTAACAATAAGCAATATTTATTTAGTGAGGTCATATAGAGAGGTTTTGTTAGTTAATTAATTATATGGTGTTAAGTGTGATTTATATTGGGGATTTTATTTCCTACATCCACATTTACAAATATCTTTCTCTTTCAAGGATGTGGTTGCCAACCACGTGTGCATGTTACTTTCTATTTTTTTATGAGTTTTACATGTCAAATAATAAATAATTACAATTATTTTCAAAAAAAAAAAAAAAAAATAGAATTAGTAATTTAGTATAGTGGCAATTGCATATTAAGTTTCACAAATTAAATTTGGATAAGCTAACATGATTTTAGCAAAAAGGGCAGTCCTCTTCTTTGAATAAAATTCAAAGAAATTCATTAATAAATTCTTGCCATATAAAACCATTTGGAAAGTCCCTAGGGGCAAGTTCATTTGAACGGTTTCTTTCTTTTCTATTCCAATTGGGGTATGAAAGGCTACATCTTCTACCGAGACATGAGAAGACAAATCGAGTCTCATTTGATTGTTTATTCTTGATATAATTAGATAACTAATCGATATTCAAATATGTATAAGATTGTTAATCATATGTGATTTAATTGGCGTTTTCATTTATGTGAGGAGTGAGAGTATTGAAATTCGAGACTTCTCAATTGTAAGAGTTTTTACCAATTTGGTAAGTAAAACCTCTTTATTGTCCATCCAAGTAAGATATGTTTAAATAACCGACAATCTCTATACTATCGACTATTCAATTTATAAAAAACTTGTGAAATAAAATTAGTTTCTCGCATCGAAAAAAGAAGTGAAAATACTTATCAGCAATTCAAAGAAATACATTTAGTTTAGAAAATCATGATATCTTAGACCATATGGAAGAAAATCCTAATCCTATTTGCTCGATTAATTTATAGAATTGAAAGATATTAATCTTTGTGAAAAAAAAGAAAAGGACACTAGATTCTTGAATCTGATATGATTCTTGGTAAGAAGAAGAGATTTTCACGGATAAAATTTAGAAAAGAAAATCCTAAGAGATTTTCCTTCAAATCTCAGTAGTATCAACTAAGGTCTTCTTTGAATAACACAATACCCATATACGCGAGATATGCATACCTCACAAGCATCCAATTGGCAACCCTCAATAAATTTCAGATTTGGTGTCTCCTTTTCATGCACTTTAAATATTTATATATTTTTTCTCCATTTGCTGCAAAAAGCTAAGAAACAAACAATAAACTGCCATCCTACGTGGCATGCATGCAATGCCCATAAAATCCACCGTGGCAAACATGCAAGAGTGTCTAAGACAAGTAAGCTATTTTTGTTTTCAGACAGTTACATTAATTTCTAGTTCTCATCAACACTTGTTGGGTTTTCTTTGCTTTTGGAACTTGTAATTCAGTGTCAGCATCTACATATTAAATTTTGTTTCACTCAAAATGAGACATGCTTTTATATGACACACTGTTTTTTCTTTTTCTTAATTAAAATTCCTTTTTCCAAAAAATAAAAAAAAAAAGAAAAATTATTTTTTCTTTATGTCAATTTCAATAATGAATTCTCCGTTGAAAATATTTGCTTTATATTTTATTTAGTCTCTAAGTTCAATTATTGATAGTTGAAAAATGACATGAGTATTCAAGTTTCCTATCCCATACCCTAAAAATAAATTTATAAAAAATCTAAATGTTTACATGATAAGGACATTTGATGATGAAAATTTATCATAGAGAAATAATTTATTTTTGTTAATTTGAAATTTTAGTTTAATTTAATTATTATTATAACTTCTAATAAAATTTTGCCTTTTCCTTTTTCCTTTTGGAAGATTCTAATTAAAAGGAGTTCTACTAATTTTAATTTCTAATATTTCTAATATGAGAGAAAAATCATTTACATAAATAAAAAAGAATCGTAATTGAATTGTACAAGTAATGTATAATTATAGTTAAATCAATTCCTAAATAGGAAACCTTTTGTTCTAATTGGACAAGTAAGAGATTATAATTTAAAGTAGATGAATAGACGCGCATATAATTCTCTCATTCCGAGTGAATATTGTTCGATATAATTCAATACTTTATAGTTCTATCCTATAAGAGAGCGAACTAAACTATAATTTATATGTATAATTATTATCAATAAATAAAGATTATTATCAATAAATATATGTATAACTGTAATTTACTTCATTGCAACTAGCAAAAAAAAAAAAAAAAAAAAATATAAGAAGAGCGATACTAAACTATATATTTATATGTATAGGTAGCTGTTTCATTATTATCAATACAATAAAGCATTATTATGCAATTAAATAATATGGGGGTGTTTTTGTTTAAATAATAACTGTAAAGTTTACTCATTGCAACTAGCAAAAAAAAAAAAAAGAAAAAATAGTATTGGGTAGATCCTTAATAATTTAAGCATTTTTTTTATTATCTTCCCTTAATTAGCAAGCTGGTTATTTATCAATGCTAGATATTCTAATTAAATGTGTGCTTAAATAGCTTGTATAATAGGAATAATTTGATGAAAAGAGTTGAAATTATTGACACTGCGCAAAATGATTTACAATACTAATTATAGCTCTGCTATGTTGGCTGTCAATTCCTTCTGAATTAAGAAAGTCGGTATAAAAAAAAAAAAAAAAAAAAAATAGTAGAAGACCTTATAATTAAGCATTTTTTTATTATCATTCCCTTAATTAGCAAGCTGGTTATTACAATGCTATATATCATAATTAATGTTGCTTAAATAGCTATATATCAGAATATTTGATGAAAAATTGAAAATTATTGCATGGAAAATGTTTACAATACTAATTAAGCTCTGTATGTTGGCTGTCATTCTTCTGATCCCAAGAAAAGTCGGTTTATAGAATCTAAACTGTTTAGCTAATCCTGAACTGTCTTATTATGCAAATTAATTATGATTAAGGGCTACTAGAGATTAATTATTATTATAATTAATTAATTAATTAATTATTGTGTCTGAGATTACATATTTTGAAGGTCGGTTTAATTATAAGAATCTCCTTACAAGTTACAACCGCCATTTCTGATTTGTCGGCGTCTAAGAATTAAAAAATAATAATAATTAGAATTTTTTTTATATGTAAGAAATGGAGGATTAATTAAATTAATGTTATATAGTCTAGTTTAAATATAGCACATTTGGTTTGAGTTCTAATGTATGTGTAATAGTTAATTATTTGACTTGATTAATTGGTTCTTTTGCTTGTTTTTTAAATTAATTAATTAATTGTGGGGAAAATATTAATTAATTAATATTGATGAGTCATGCAAATGTCTAAGTACTAGGACCCAATTGGAAGTTATTGGTTGAAGGGAAACTTGACAGTTGCCACGTGTGTGACAGTTCAACAACAACTGTTTAGGAAGCATTTAATAATTTTATTTTTTAATAATAATAATAATTATTATTATATAGTAATTAATAATTTTGTTGGTATGAAATGGATGGGCTAATTAAGACATGTATAGTGTTGTCTGAGTGAGTAGTGTTGCAGTGAACCTAGCTAAGCTTTTTTATATATGAGGATGACAGTTCAAGAACAACTATGAAAAGACTCCAAAAGGACTTCATTTTGTCTAGATTAATATGCATCAATTCTTGATTTGGGTTAATTAAGTTTATAGGACTTTTAGTTTGATCCATGCAAATAAGGTTTAGAAGGGAAAAAAATGATACATTTTTTTTTATTAATTTGACTTTTTTGTGTTTGTATAAATGTTTTTATGCTCGGGTCTGAAATAATGTTTAAATCGAGTGTTTTAACGGTAATGACTTCAAATTTCAATATCGGCTTTGCACATAAAAATTTGTCACTTTGACTGAGAGTTCAAACTCAATCGTATTCTTTCGCTTCTATAGATCACTCTAATAAAAAAATTACAATCTCAAACAAAATTTGATAAAGTTGAGAGTATTGAGCAAATGTTTTTGGCTCAACTTGGGATGACACAAATTTAATAGGGAAAGTTGAAAGGACAATATTGACCCTCTTAGTTACCAGAGAATAGTTTAATAAGGAGGGGAGAGAGTGAAAATGTGTAGGATTACATTAGTAATTTCCTTTATTGAATTTGAATTTGTACCGGGCAGGTACAAATTGTGCCATTTAGAAGGACCTTTTTGAATTAATCTTGAGATGCACTATCTATTCTCTTATGAATTGGAAAAATGAATTATACAAAAATAAATAAATAAATAAATAAATTCCATCTTAATATTAAAAAAAGCAATCAAGTATTATGTTAGTGATCTGTTAATAAAAAGTCAAATATAGGTTGAATGAATTATGTGTACAAAAACAATAATTAAGACAATAACAACGTTATCATCAAAGACGATAACAATGATGATTAAATCACTTAATTTTGTTATTACATACTGTATTAAGGCAACGATTAATATTATTTTACTCATCAACTTTTGAGGAGGTGAAATGGGTAAAAATTAGTTTAACAGGTCAATCTATCATCTTCATATTGACTAATGCTGCTTGAAAGTCAATTATTTTAAAGTTAGAAGTGCACCCAGTCCAAGTGAATGTGTATTGAAAATGTCACTTCATAGCAAATCACATATCTACATTTCATAGTAACATTTTGTTTTTGAAAAATAAAATTTATTAATGTACAGAAATTAACAGTAAAAAAAAAAAAAGAAAATATCGAAAGGCAAACTACAGAGATCGTAATCAAAGACAAACAATATCTTAATATTAATTAATTGTCTTTATTACAATGAGTTGTCCAAAAACGGTATGAAGAATATGCATAAAACACCCATCATTTTCCGTCACTCTTTGTATAGATAGTGAAAGAAACAATTGATTAAAAGAATTTCTTTCCAAATGCTGAAAACTTCTTATCTTATTTAAATTTTGGCCACTCATTT